GTCAGAGCCAGGTACCCATCGCGTTTTCATTGCACACGTGTATGCATGCAGTTACGTGTAAGTTGGAATACGTCGGAAATGCAAAAAAAAAAATTAAAAAACAAAAATTGGAAATTTTTACGAAAAAATATTTGACACATTTCATTGCTATGGTTAACTTTTTTTTTGACTTTTTACAATTTCCTTATCGACACGGTACCAGACCTTCCTTCATCCATCCGTCACGATGCACCACTTACTTCAGGGCACCGAAAGTAACAATGAATAAATGACAGTCAAGTAGAAACTGCATTCACGTCGGATGGAAAATTCTTTTAGAATGTCTTTACTCCCCCCCAGAGGCTTGACGCGCCCGTGTACCCAGTGGATATGTGGGTGAACGCCGTCGCCGACTTGTGGGTACATCTTGCGCTGTTGGTAACACAGTCCTTTGAGTGTACTACGACTTGCAAATAGTGCGCTCAATGTAAATGCAACGAGCTATATTTTTTTCATGGGCGAAACTCCCTATACTGTATATATGTATATAGGATATATGGGTTAGGACATTTTTATTCTCTACTATGCTTTTTTTTTTATTTGAAGCCACAATATTACATCTAGCTTGAAATAACTCACTTTCTTGAACCAGATGGTTAACCTGGTCGGATTCATACACGAAAGATCTCATTTTGATCTACCGAAACGAGATACTGTATACAGAGTTGCTCGTGAAATTTTTATGAGGCAATATGTACAGAACGAACGTCGACGAATTAATCTCTGTTTTACTTTTGACCGTATTATATTGAAAAAAAAAACTTTCTACTTGGAATTGTTGTTTTTCTTTTTTATGAAAAATATTCATTAAATTCATGATCATATCCACCGTATGTATCCTCGGGACTCGTTACGTTAATTCGCTCACGTCAATTACGGTACGTTGTATCCCTCGGGAGATAAGAATAATAATAATAATAATACTTGCTTCATTACCCTCTACATGGTGTTACGAAATAATTAGTAAAGTTAAGTGTATCATGTTGGAAGAAACTGTACAAACTCGAATGGCCTCAAGTCAAAAAAATGTTGTATCGAAATATGCGAGTTTTTGCGTCTTTTCAAAATTTGTTAGTTTAATGTAAAATTAATACGTAATTCAAGTTCAGGTAGTATAATCTGAAGCAGGTATTGAAAAAATTGGTCGTGAGAGTTCAGAAGAGCCAAGGTGAAAGGACCTGTAGATAGGAGGACACCAATAGCGATACAGGGATGTTTAGAAAGGGTCACAAGAAACGTAACTGAATTAGGATAAAATTCATCTACTTGCGAAACGCCGAGTAAACTGACTCCGCCGGGGTGATAATTAATAACGTCATCAATGTTAATTAGCAGCAGGGAGCGCAAAGGTAAAACGTATACGAGTATTTTATCTCGTTGGAAATATATCTTGATCTAAGATTTGAGCAATTTGTTGAATTAATAATTAAGCGGTACGATTAACTAATCACGCAATATAGGGATTCGCATTGTAACACGAGGTGGCAATGACTCGTTCGAAAATCCCGCGCCGACGGAACTTTTGTTATGGTGGCGCTGCAGGCGTCCAGACTACCAACAATGCATAGCGAAGTCACGGACTGACGATGTCAATAGACATCTGTCTTGAGATTGAAATTGGGGACGTAGAAAAGCTAAAAAAGAAGAAAAAGAAAAGATATCAGTGCGTTTTTCTTTTTTTCCGCGATATTCCTTCACGTCAGTGACAGTTCCGTGCGTTTACTGCTATTTTCTTTCGCGAGATATTCTTTGCCTCGAATGTCTCTTGGTGGTTCGACATGTTGAAAATTGTCAAAAATTCGTAGGAAATTATATATCACCCACTCCTCATCCTATGTCAAGAGATTTTCGTTGATTCTCCCGCGCACCCTGGGGATCTGAGGAAAACGAAGTAGGAAGGTTACTCTTTAGTCGTCGAACATTTTTAAAAGGTTTTATGGTAAAAAGTATGACGATCTTCTTTCACAGGAAAAAACCCTCTAGGCGGATCCTTTGATTAATTGCGAGAAACTGAGGGATAGATAAAAAAATTTCTTCAATTTTTCTTTGAATTAATTTTTTAATTTTCAAAACTACCACCTTAAAATAGACACCAAGTAACGCATTTGACTAGGGTAGTCACTCTCGAATTAATCATCCTGTATATTTGTACCGTATGACGTATCGTAATTTGCGATCATTATTTTCTTGTCTTTTCCATCTATATACCGAAGGTCGCCTATTTTATTGATTTCCAATTTAATCGATCCTCTATCCTACGTAATATACAGTAACGTCCAATTGAAGTGCAACACTTGAATTTTTTTACATTTCTGTGAAAGTATGACAGATTTCGAAAAACCAAAGACATATTTTTTAGGAAATTTCCTTTCCGTTCGAATGGTAAAGGTTTTATCCCGATCGGATACAAAATGGGCGTATGGCAGGGGTTGGAGTGAAAAAATGCATTTTGGAACTTTTTGAAAAATTCGAGATCTAGTAGTTCCGGCAGGAAATTTATATTTTTAATCAGGTCACGAGAGAGAGCATCCTTCGGCATTAAAAAAACACCCCCATTGAACCCCTGTAGGATCACTCTAGGGGGAGTTACACCCCCTTGAAGTGAAAACACTTAAATGGCCGTAACTTCCGAACGCGCCGGCCAATCTGGTCCAGTTTCTGCATGATATCATCTTTAATGATACTGCACGTTCTCAAGTATGAGTTTGCTAAGGGGTTAAATTATCCGTTTGAAGAAACGCCTAAATTTTGCGAGTTCTGCTCGAGGCGCTCGGGGGACAATTGCTTGGCGCGCGTGGTAGAGTAGTAGTCCCCCGAGCGCCTCGAGCGGAACTCGCAAAATTTAGACGTTTTTTCAAACGGATAATTTAACCCCTTAGCAAACTCATATTTGGATGATTAAAAGCGCGTTTTAATCGTTGAAGTCTCAGCTACAACGTCGATAAATATGAAACTTCTATTTCATCGCATTCCTAATGAAAAATGGCGGGGAAGCTTCGGGTGCGCTTGCGAAATCTCGAGATCTCCGTCACGGGATCATCTCCGAGAACAATAATTTTGTGAGAATCTGCAGTATCATTAAAGATGATATCATGCAGAAACTGGACCAGATTGGCCGGCGCGTTCGGAAGTTACGGCCATTTAAGTGTTTTCACTTCAAGGGGGTGTAACTCCCCCTAGAGTGATCCTACAGGGGTTCAATGGGGGTGTTTTTTTAATGCCGAAGGATGCTCTCTCCCGTGCCCTAATTAGAAATACGAATTTCCTTCCGGAACTACTAGTTCTCGAACTTTCCAAAAAGTTCCAAAATGCACTTGTTCACTCCAACCCCTGCCATTCGGCCATTTTGTATCCGATCGGGATAAAACCTTTACCATTCGAACGGGAAGGAAATTTCCTAAAAAATTTGTCTTTGGTTTTTCGAAATCTGTCATACTTTCCCAAAAATGTAAAAAAATTCAAGTGTTGCACTTCAATTTGACGTTACTATATATATATATATATATATATATATATATATACACCACACGTACATTTGTGTTATTTAATTTTCATTCGAAACGGCACGAATGTCCTCTTGCAATTACGATGACATAATTTTTATATCGACATCCTAATGAAATCCATACTTCATTAGTGGCGCCATGACGCGATTAAACCTGGTTGGAGATAAAATTTCTAATGCGAATGTATAATTAAGTTGGCAGCCATTAGCTGATACCCTTTGGTGTCTCCCACGTGCGTACGGAATCGTCTATCGCTATTAGCAAGAATTAAAATGAGACGACAGTACGGAGGATAGGGTATACGAAGCATCTGGCATAAGGGGTGTTGTCCATCCCTAAATTTAAAGGTTACGGTCTCATTGCGGTAAACCACCCCTTAATTTATTGGCACAGCGACACCCCCGGCTGCCCCATAAATATGTACACGATTCCGAGTGACGAGGGAATAAAAAAAATGCTGGGGATGGAACTAAGTCAGTTCACTCTTTCTTATGGGGTTGAAATCGAATTTTTACATTCACTCCAGAAAACCCATATCGACTTAACCTCCCCCATTCTTCTTTTAAGTCCTGAATTAAACTTTATACGTCCTCCGAATATACCGGGTTAATGGATGCACGTTAAAGACAAAGCATTCTCATTTTACATAAACAATATTAATTTCTCCGTAATAAACTTTCTTACCCTTCTGGAAAGCCAAACTTTTGCCCCGGCACGAATATCACGAGTCAACATTTTTTTTTAACAAACTGAAACCTTCGCAACGAGGGTGGTCCGGGTGCCTCAAGTAAATTTGAGGGGGTACAAATAAAAACGAGGGACGTCGGAAGAAAAATCTATTATTTTTAGGAAATTTTGGAAATTCTTTTTTTTCTCTTCCTTCACGTCACTTCCCTATTTTCATTTCTCTTTAATTTCCCACCTAAAGAAAAGCACGATCTGCGTTTTAAACGAAAACTGTATTCTCGATGTGAGAATTTTAAAGCGACGTGATTCCACTTCTCGCTAATTGAATTTCCCGCCAACTTTTGATTGGATTTACCGTCAATCCGATTGATATGGTGAATATTCGAATTCCCGTGGCACTACGTCCGACGCTCTACTAGTCCCTGGGAGTCGTAGGAAGAACTCTATAGAGCGCACGCCGCCCCAATAACTCTATATAGGACAAAGAAATATTTCCTGTCGAGGGGCGGTTGGTAATGATAACCATGCTTTACGTAAAACTCGTTTAATCATCTTTCTCGTTGAATAATAATCGCCGTCCACAATACTATAAATAATGCAACATCACAGTCGCGGTAATAAAGATATTAGTGATGACTCATTTATTCAACCCCTTTTCAAGAGGGTAACATGCCGTCCGATAATGAATTACGCAAATTCACGCGAATTCATTAATTACGGAAACATCTCGTGTTTAACGTCTATACGATTAACTTCGCTTAACAGCAATTAATTATTCAATCAGTCGAGCGCTGAAAACTTTTACAACGTGAAAACGTTAGACATGAAAAAATCGTCTGACAACAGTTCAAACGAACGTTTAATCTACAATATAGATAATATGCACTTGGTGCAGATAATTATTTTTAACTGACACAAACTTTAGAAAAAAAAAAAAAAGACTAGAGCGCAAGGGAAAAATTATATACTTTCGTGAGGGTTTGCAATTTCTCCACCATTTTGTTGTGCTTTCGTAGCTCTAGCGTCGATTGATACAACTAACGGTATATGAAACTCTGATAACGAGCCTTGGTAATGGTACAGGGTGAAACGCCCTATAGGCTATCAGTAAAAGGTCAAGCGAGGTCATAATGCCTGGAAATTCTATACGACCTCCTCGCGGATTGACCACCTACGTGGAGTCAGGTGGCGTTAGCGATTTTACTCGAGAGACAGAAATTCTCTGAAGTTTAATTTACTGGATAATCGAATGCGCCGTGTCGCCGTTTACATTTTATGGCACATTTGTCCAGCAAACCTTAATAACGCGAAATAACCTCTTTGTCCTCTCCTGGACGTCGACGTGCTGGTGTGATTCGCGAACGTAAGTCAGAAGCCGATCGACGCGCCATCGTTCCGTACGGCAATCATGGCTACTTTTAATGTTATGCTGGTGTTATGCCAGAGGTGTATACCTAACACTTTATTCGACAGCCTTCAAACCCTGAAGACTTTCCTTATGGCGATCCTCATGAGAATAATCGTACAGCTCGAGACCTCGTTTCGCAAGGAAGCGAAATTATTTCCTGTGCGAAGAAGAAATCTTGAAAGTAGAAAAGAATCTTTCACACGTAACAATAAGCCACTTTTCACTACTTTCATTTACATGGATGTTATCGGCTTGAATCACGATAACGACGACAAAGAAAAAAAATACTTTCCTGCATGGATAAATACCTTTTTCTTTTATTCCATAAATATATCACGTGACAGATCCCTTGTATCGCTCGTGAAGATTGTCAATGGCGAAGTGTTGTTCAGCAAGCGACTGATCGAATGGGTATGTTGATCTTCGATGTTTACACAATCCATTGCGTAATTGAAACGTATGCAAAATGAAAAGCGACGGTAATAAAGAATGTTGTAAACAAAAATTATGATGACTGTCATTTACATTGGACGTAACGACGTCGTTTGTGTCATGAAAACGAGTTAAGCATCTCTTGTTCACGACGCCATTGGAGCTTTGACTGTAAAGCAGAAGATTGCGTTAATGGAATACAAGAGAACCACGATTTTAAGTCACCGGAAACGACAGTGTCGAAACTGGCTTTTCACTACGACACACACTTACCTACCTGAACAGGATCTACCTGGCATCAGGGTACGTTCAAAAGACACGAGTTGCCGTGACTGAGATAAAAGTACCTCAAAGACACTGCATTGTTTAATTAAAATTCTCTGACTGGTCCTGCAGTGTGTACATACAATTTTCCATGACAGCTTACAGTGTGTTGTATAGAGAAGAAACGAATAAAATTATACCAAAACATCATTACGAGCACAGCATTTGAAATAAAAGCGATATAGATAACGGTCGTGAATCTATCTCCATAAGCAGGAACATTTCGATAAGTCGATCCGTCGTATCCTCCACGAGTTTTGACGCGTCTTGCAGTATGGAAATTGTCGGTCTGGCAATCTTCTCGAGAATGCGGAAATGGCCGACTGGATATAAAAATGAAGTAGCTCTAAGGTTCCGAGGGATCTTTGGTGGGTCGAAGAGTCGACATTCCAGGGACCCAGATATAAAGGAGACGTCTCAGCCGAGGGAAAGTCACGGTCAGAAAGAATGGAGGTTATGGTATACCGGGTATAGAATGGGCCTTAATGGTGGGGATAAGGCAGCTGTTTGGCCGGTAAGCAGGGTCGCCCCATGTGTATCCGCCGGCAATTCGACATCGGTTGCGTCGCGGGAAGGCGTCCTTGTCGTTGAGTCGTCAAGCGTCGTCTGTCAAAAGTGTAGTACGAGTTGTCCGTTAAAACAAAAGTGGATTTCGATTTGTTGCCGTGAAAGTGTAAGAGTGAATATACGACGAAGAGGGAAATGAAAATGGTGCGAGTGCTGGAAAGAACGAGAAAGAAAAAAGTATACACTGAAATTGAGTGTCTCGAGAGCTGTTGCAATTCGTTCTTCAATTCGTAGACAAGCTCTGTCTTGTGGATGCTTACGTTTCTACGTATATTCACGAGGGAATTTTTTACTTTATCACTCAAGGATTTTCTGTGCTTTATATCTACGTACTGTGATACAACAATAGGTAAGTCATTCTTCTACTCGTAAATTTAATTCTCTCGTGATATCTCTCTGGAAGAAGCACAAAATGTCGAAGTTCTACATTCAATTGCAACCCCCTCTAATATAATGGTAGGATACGTAATATATATGAGTTGGTGGAATGACTTTTGATTTCTATAATACCCGAATATATCTCTTGCACGTTGCGTTACGTAATATCGACCAATTTTTTTTTACTGGTTTTTTTCTGCAGCGTTCTTTGCTATTTGGGAACGATGAACTTTGTCCTTTTGAAATACGTACGACCAAGTGAATCTTTGCAAGTATCAAAGCGTCTTATTGTACGAGTAAAATAAAGTTTGATTAAATTTACTGAAAGGAACAAATCAATTTAAATGTTGCGCCACTGGCATTCGGCAATCTTCGTTATCGTCATTGGAAGAATAACCTCAAAAAAGGTAAAAGCTATTGATACGTAAAATTAAAAGTGAAACACGCAGGCTGTGTAGTTGTTGCACAGAAGGAAAAATTCAGTACAAAGAGCATCGGAAGGGAAGTGTGATTGCTCTTATCAGTACGAGTGCCAAGATAAATTGAGAGAAAATCGCAAAATACTCTGTGAAAGAAGGGTGGACGAGCAGGCGAAAGTACAAAAATGACAGTTCACAACGAATCAATTTTATGGCGATATAAGAGCACATGAAAAACATTTTAAGTTATTCTGCAGGATCTGGCATTGGATATGTCTGTCTTTTCATGTCCAACACGTCTCTGATGATTCTCTGTACTAGTATTACCAAAGTTTATTAATTTCAGACTAGTGAGTGGCGTTCGTTCATTGGCTTAACAGGAGAGACGCCGCTTTGTCCTGGACGAATCGAATTACTAGAACACGAAGATAAAACGGATCATTTGAACTAGCCTTCAGTACTAGAAGCTTTATCCTTTATATACATATATATATACATATATATAAAAAGGATAAGACAAATGTAGAGACGCAAGTATCTCTCTCCTTCTTCTTATAACTTTTCAATTTCCTTTTTCATTTATTATCCCACTCTCTCGCCTGTATATTTATCTCTCTCAACGATTTCTATCTTACTCCAGCACCCTTGTCCTCCTCGATTCTGCAGTGAATGCTAGGCTGTCAATTTTCTCCTAATTCCACCAATAATTGGCCCAACCAAGAGAGCTTTTGTAGAGATTGTTCGGAGGCGTTAAAACAGGAAACGGTCAATGGCACTTCCTCCCCGTACAATTTTCCATTGTCATAATTTCTATACTATCCATATAGCTATATTGGATCTAACATCGCGTTATTTATTTCTAGATGCAATCCTACCACGAACAGTGACGTATCCTGTGTTTCCTACGGTTCGTCACCCTGCGAGGCCTTCGACCTCGTAATCAAGCTTTCTCCCTTCTTTCGTTCCTCTAAACGATCTAATAGACTTACTCGTTATCACTACGATTATGTCATTATTTCTTATTCCCTTGTTATCTACACAATAAACCCAAGGGTCCATGTAGTTATGAATTAAGAATCAATTGTGACAATTATTTATATATTTCTAGGGGAGAAAAAAATGTTTTAACCGTCAAACCTGCCGGACGATCTGAGAACTATAATTGAGATTGACAGATCCCATGATAAGGAAGGGTCAATTTCTTTCAATATACAATCAATGACTATGGAGACTTTCACGTTAGATCTTTGCTCATTTTTATTCCTTCTCTACCCTCTATACTCCGTGACTCTCGGCACCCTTATCTACAATTCTTATCAGATGTCGCACACCTTGTTCTCACGAGATTCTACATGCGTGCTCGACTCAATCTCGTTCTGTGATTGGTCCCGATCCTAAACCAACTTATTACACGGAACGGACGCCAGCAATAAAATTTATTGCTACGGTAAATTGGCCGAGTGGCTTTGCAGGAGACAGCCGGCACCCTCTTCCTTCGTAATGGGCAATTGTCCACGAAGAATTGCCTAAGTGTGCGTCCTAAGTAAATAATAAACCCGTTTCGACTTCATCGTCGCTACGTTGTAAAGCGCCTTGAGGAGACTCAGCTACGTTACGTCTACGTCGAATTGAACTTATCTTTCAGTATGAAATTATTTTTCTTTATTTTCTTCTTCTTTGTCGCAGGATAGTTACTCTCAGGAATAAATGGTATCTCTTGGCGACCAATCAAAATTCTCTCGGAACGTTCTCATCGCGCTAGAACGATTTTATTTTTTTCTCTTTTACCTACAAGTTACCCTTCTCTACTTTACCGACGGATTATCTCTACTTTACATAGCGAGAACTTTAATACGTTACTTGAATTCTTTTCTAGTTAGCAAGTCGACAGAGTTAACAACCACTATCAGACTCCATTTTGTGCTTTAGTGCTCTGTATACTTCTTGGTATATTTGTAGTTTTCACAGATTACGACATAATGTATTATATCAGTGGTGACTGTAAAAGCATTTGAGCATTGAACACTTTTTTGTAGAAGACCCTTTTTAAATTTTACGTTTCGAGCTAAGCTTTATGACTTGTTGGATTTTCTCAGTTTCGTGAAATGCTTTGAAACTTTTGACATTTATGCTTCTTCCAGAGTTTTTATTTTTAATTGTATTTGTTTAATTTTTTATAAGCGGGATCATCCCGTGAGTTATTTTATTTTACTTTGTTCTTTTGCAGCTTTATCGTACCAAAGATCGGACAAAAGCCAAAGAATGGGATAAGAATGTAATTTATTGTGCCAAAGAGTGGAGGAGTAAGGACTGGCAATTAAATAATATATCTCCGAACAAGAGGGATACTTTGCCGTTAATCCTATCAAGGGATAACGCAACGAAGAGAAGACAAAAGAATAGATCCAAATGAAATTCCGAAAGTCATCGGAGCGCTCGCCAAAGATGGAACTCTTGTCGAGGAGGTCCTCGGGGAACCGGATGTCGACGCTGAAGAGATCTAGATCCTTCCGTGCCTCGATCCGACTGGTATCCAAGATAAGGAATCACGCGAGTCACCGGCTCGCCACGAACTTCGAAGTGTCGCCGGTGTCGCTAGTGTCGCCAGTATCCTTGAACCCGACGGGCGTGGAGGAGGATAAAAGGATTCGCAAGGATTCGAATAAAGAGTCCTACGTTGGCACTGATGATTGTAATGAAATTCAAGGGCAAAATGAAGTGGAGCGCGAAAGAGGTCATCAGAATAAACAGGATCAGATCTTCAGTAAGGAGACAAAGCTAACCAAGGATCTCAAGTGCAAGTTATCCTTCACGGATAGGATATTGGGGAAGCACAAAAAGCTACAAGATCCTGAACAGGATACGAGCAACGTCCTTAAGTCGCCAAAGAGTTCAGTGAAATTCTTTAAACGTAAAATTAATACCAGCAATACTTTAATCGAGAGTTCAAAGGACGACGATTATTCGGCCAGGATGTCCAATCCTGCGGGAGAATATAATTCCTACGAGAATCCCACCTTCTTGCTGGATAGGTCTGTGGACGCGGAGATGACATCTCACGTTAATGGCGAATCCGAAATTCCTTGCTACTTCCTCGGCGAGGACTGTCTGTGCGATAAGGACGATAACGTGTCCTGTGAGAAATCAGCAGATAAGAGAATTCTATCGGTAGACGATAAAGACAATGTCCTGTACAGAGAGAAGGACTACGACTTCGAGGAAATAGATTGTCTGGACGCGAGGAACGGTCACAGGGATAATAATAATATTAAAACGGAAGTCCACGCTGGAGAGGATAATTGTAATGGCGAATCGCAGGAGCGTGTCCTCCAGTGCGAAAATAACTCGCAGGATCACACGAGCGTGTCAAAGTCCTCGCGAAATAGGACTGTCGACAATTTTACCAATTTTTGGATCACCAGTCGCGGCGCCAGCTTTCGTAGCAAAAGGAATGGTCGCAAGAAAACTACTAAGGATTCAAAGGATGCCGAATCGACATTCGACGAACCACGTGTCCTTGTGACAACCACTTCCGGGACAAGTAGGACAGGATTTCGCAAAAATTTATTTTCGGCTTATCTCCATAAATGAATTGCAGTTGATTTATATTTCGAAAAATCTAAAATGTACTCATATGCGAATACGTAAATTCAATTATGTCCAATGGAAATTGAAAAAAAAAGATACTTTTAATCTCAGTCACGAATGCCAATTACGCCATACGTACATCCTGCATTCCGTACCAAAACAAATTGACATTGATTTCCGGTTTTGTCATTGTCGTGACGCTTACAACAATGACAGGTCTGAAATTCAATGATCTCTTTTTTTAACTTCCGTTTAATTATCTCAACATCTCTCTCTCTCTCTCTCTCTCTCTTTCTCTCTCTAACTAGATAATTGTTAAGTAACAATCGTGACACAGTTTCATAATGAAAACAGTCAGGTTAACTTCCGTTTAATTATCTCAACATCTCTCTCTCTCTCTCTCTCTCTCTTTCTCTCTCTAACTAGATAATTGTTAAGTAACAATCGTGACACAGTTTCATAATGAAAACAGTCAGGTCACTCTAGGTATGATTTAGAAAAAAAAACTTAACACTCATATTACAACTGTAATTTTTTCTTTCTAAGCTTCGAGCAACACTATAAGATATGCAGGCTAACTGCAGTAAGACGCACTTTAATGCATAGTGTAGTAAAAAAGAAAAATATAGGAATTCCAGTCTACCTCTTTAACGTGCAACTTGACCACATAACCATTGACGTTTACAACGCTGGTTTCACTCACGTACGTTAAATGTGATATGTCCTGAAATTATTCACAAAGAGGAAAAAGTGCTGTTGACTATCACACTGGTAGTTTATATTGTTCCTTGTAATCTATATAAATGTTCAGTATACCGTCTACGCTCGGCGCGGTAATGACAGTTAGCGATTGGCAATCCTGTTCTGTGGCAACTTTATGCGAAACGAATTTGACAGACGGTGATTTACCTGGTTTAGTTTCGTTTAGTGTATACGTGGAAGATGAAGTACACGACAATCATGCAGCACACCTTACCACGAATTTCACGGTTTACTTGTAATAGGGGTCTTTGGGAATTTTTAGGTTATAAATTGATTATTTTTAACTGATTCCTTAATTTAATTTTTTTATTGGAATTTCATTCCTCTCCTTATTTTTTTTTCCATCTTTTTCTTTGCTTGGTACAGAATTACACTCGCGACAAGGGATGGAGTTCCTGGAAGGTTTTGGCAAGAAAAAAGCCCATCAGCTCGACCCTCTCACGTCCACGCACATCGGTCCACTCACGGCACAACCCAGCCTCAACATACATCTGCATGGTAGCTAGTTTTATTTTGATTTTCTTATTTTTTTATTGTCCCTGTTTACTTATGATTTATTGACTGACGGAAAAGAAAAAAAGGTGGAGCAAGGTTACTCGTGAGGGTGTATAATGATGGGGGTGATGAACGAATGCCTTAATTATGTAATGTCTGTCGATTGATAAGGGATCATCTTTTTTTCAGCCCTCTTCGCCGCAGTGGAGCACGGGCACCTTGATAAGGCTAGGACAATTTTGGAATCGACGGATGTGGATGTAAACAGGTGAGCCGACATTTGGTCATTTGTATTTTTTTTTTATAATTTCTTTAACGGAGTCATTACTCTCTTTTTTACCTGGTATTTAAAACTTGCCAGCCCCTGGTCAACGAAGAGTTTTAAGAACATTCTTCTCAAAACCGTTACCAAAAGTTGATTTCACAACGTAACTCAAAAGTGTCCAAGTTTTATGTCTCGCCTCGAGACGCCTTATCAATCAGTTAATAAAAAGGAGTTTAATATTAGTTTTGGAGTAAGTTATCAGAAAAGAAAATTTAACACGTTTGTACTGCTTTTCATTTTTTTTTTTTTTTCAAAATCTCCCTACAAGTAGATAACAGTGTCTTTTGTCTAATATACTTGTCAATCCCCCACTGGATTGCGTACAGTCAATGGAAGTATTTTAAGATGAAAGTGGGTAGAGTATTTAATAAATATGTCAACTAGTATATCTTCGGCGACGATGATTTCTCTCAGTTGGCTGTCAACAGGTGTAACCTTTAAGTGCGGACACCTGGTCAACACTACGGGACCAATAACAGGAGTGAACCAACCCTTCTGTTGGGAATGGTGAAGGTGGATAGGGAGCGTCGTTGTCCCAAATTAGCTGAACGACTGATCAATATCTAGATAGAAGTCTGATGTTAGACACTTTTTATAAAATTGCAACCCTTGCCCATCAAACTCGCCCAGACCCCCTGAATTTGTTCCTTGTTCATTACTATGCTTAAAGAAACTAACCCTCTTTTCAATTTCAGTGTAAATAGCGACGGATTGTCACCGCTGGACGTTGCTGTTTTGAGCAACAACAGACCACTGGCAAAGATGCTGGTTGCTTTTGGAGCCCAGGAAGGTAACCAATGTGAGTAGCACCTTTAAGTGACATTCATAAAATTATAATGGAATCTTAGGAACAGTCTGAATGCGAAGTCTCAGGATAAACTGATACTCCATTCGAATGCTTCTTATTAAATAAAAAGAACCTAGATTCCAGTTGGATGACAGCTCGAAGAATTCAACGTGGATGCATATCTTTGATGGTCGGTGAATTCAGCTGGAATTTTTTAATATTCCTCAAGAAGCTTAAGCCGGATAACATGGATTAAGTAAGATGCCAGTCGGTTAACAGTGATTATTAATTCACACTCCCTGCTATGCTGGATCAAGTTGCCTACGTCACTTTCATTAATCATCAGCAAGACTTCAATATTCTCAGCAAGATCAAGTCTTATACGTGCGATCGAAGCAGCTCGGTGGCGCCATCTGTCTTCTTCGTCGACCTCCCCACTTCCAAACATGACAAATACAATTGTCAAGGCTTGTTTACGCGAGTCTAACGTCGCCAAAGAATTACGCTCGTTCAACATCTATCTGAAGCGTTAAGCCTGGTTTATGTTAATCTTCATAAAATGGCGCCGACCTATTCTAACTCCTACGTGGGTGTTCTTCGTTTTCGTCTGAAACGATCTATAAATACATATAACGCTACCGCATCTAATATACTTGTGACCACTATGTTAAATTCTGGATAGAATTTTCTAACCTATGACAACTAGCGCCATTTACGTGATAGGGCGAAGCTCAAGGACGATTACGTTGAATTTTTATTCGCAGAAAGAAAAGTAGATTAAACTACGATGCAAATTACCACTGAGCTGATGTTTGCCTCGTCACAGTGTGAATCAACCCTTATCGGTTCCCGACTGACGGTAACAGCGGGTGTGTCTGTCTCTTGAGATAGGATCGAGTGAATTCGTATCAGTAAATGCTGCATATCACGCTTTAAATTTTGTTCTTTTATGATATCATAAAGCATTGATTAAACCTCCGATATAAAGATACTAAATATATAAAAATAAACTTTGATATGTTGGACTTCGAGATGAGAAAATTTAACAAGCGCCATCTGGGCAGATTTCTTGATACAATAGATATGTAAAGTATAAAAAAATTATTTGTCAATGTACAGTTGTCAATTAACAGCCAGAAAATGGCTGATCAATTTAGATAAGCAGCTTCTGCTCTTTTTTTTTTATTGTTATACCATTAATCTATAAATGGCGAATTTCTGTAATTTCTAAGAATGCAGATAATTTATTCTGTCGCTATTACTGCTCGTTATTAGTATCTAGTATGATGCATCGAAGAATGAATAAATAATGTGGTGCGCATAACCACGCAGTAAATCAATATTTATTAGAAATTATGTAAATAGCCGTCACGATGAACGCACTTAACGCATAGCTAACTGCTTGAATTTATATTTCCCTTTGATTTCGCTATGCACGCGTATAATAATCGTATTGGATTCTGATATTGGTCTGTTACGTATCATTATATATGATAGATAATTGGGAATTTTGAGAAGATGCTGGGCCCCCGAGATGACCACGACCAAATGTGACCTTGCCGAAAAAAAAGAATGATGTCAATGCCAAACGACTTTGTGAAACTCGGTCATCGTAAAAGAAATCGAGAGTCTACCGGTGTTACTACAAGCTTAACGTACCAACTGCATAAAAAAAATGAAATCCATAAAACAATAATTGCCTACAAAGTCCCCACAGCCATTTCTGGTTGTTTGATGGAACAAAAGGAAGCTATGAAATATGACGAAGAGGCAATTAGTACGGTAACAGTGGGAATACTGAAATAGCGAGAAAGGAGAAAGTACAGCAAGAATTAAATTATCTTGTCATCACAGAGTTGAACTTCCGTTATACGAGTTAAATGGGCACATTGCTTATTCTTGGTTGGCATTGAAATCTCTTAATGAAAACTTCAGCCATTAAATTCGTCAAGTTGGGAACTCAGCTACTTTTCTTGCTGAAGTATGTGTTACTATTTTAAAAAAATATTTTTACTGTAGTGCCAACCGCTCTTTAACCGTTTTGTAACGAAATTGAAAAGTTATCCGTGACTCCTTACAAGGAAAGGGAAAGCCTGAAGAAGAACTGGTGGATGATCCTCGAGGGAATTGCTGTTTCAAGAAAGAGAGAATCGCCATATGGCAAAGAGGATATTCGCTCTTGTTTATATGTGTCCTTTGTGGTACATAGCACGTGGGACATGAAGATCTTATGTGTATTCACGAGGAATTCTTGCGTACGTGTTTCGTTCCTGTCACTTGGCAGGTTCGCCATTACTGGACTGAGTTCTTGGAGTTCAGTCAGTCGCTCGGCAACCATTACTTCAGTTCCTATGTAATAATATCGCTCTTAAGTAAGGATCGAAGTTTGCAGTTGACGCATGTACAAAAATTATCGCCCTAATTACCTATGAGTCGACGCGAAAGTTATAAATAATATTTAAAAATCGCACCGTGAATTGTAAATAAGTTTTAACGAGCAACCGGTGCAATCTAATTAAAGCGTTCAACGATAATAACAATGGTAAACACGTATGCGAGATTGGGATTTATTAATAATTAATTAACAAAGCTTAATATAATTAAAACGAAAAGGAAGGGAAGGAATATATTAAAATAAATTAATTAAAATTCTTGTAGTTTGTCACTCGGACTCTTTAAAGTTAGCTTCAAGAGAATTTCTTAACGAGGAGAGAGTAAATATAATATCCAAAGGGATATTAATTACGTGGCACATAATCGATTTCGTGCTGATGACGAAGAATATCCTCGGTCCTTTGCCTATGGGAATTAAAGCGGAAGTGTCTGGGAATCCTTGAAGATTTATCTCGTGCCGATTACTTCTCCAGGAACGATGTGGAATTTTTTTTAAAACTGCAAGATGATACTGGCCAGTTGTTTAACGAAGCTTTATGCGAATTCGATTCAAGGTGCTGGAAGTTCTGAAATGAGAAAAATACAAGATCAGGGTGGGTAGTGAGAAATAGAGGTATCAGTAAAGAAAGGTGAAATTTTATTTTACCAAAGTGACAGGATGGATATCCGGATCCTGTCGCTTTAACAGGAACGAAGATCTAATTCGACGTGGGGACCATCCACGAGAATAGTGAATCAGCGCAAATGGTCAAATCAAACCAATTAGTGGATACTCGTTCTGCCAGTGTCTCTGGGATCTTTTATCTTCTCCACCAGCCCTTATGGCCTCCCCCTGAAACCGATACAATGGCACAGTGTTATCGTGTCTGCCCTCTGGATTACATTAATTGGCTACTTCTGGCTAATGAACTTCCAGTTTATCTGGTTCTCTCGATTCTGCGTAAGGGTGCGAAATAGCATCAGCATACCAAGTCCTGAGGAGTATATCTAAATTACCTTTCGCCCTAGCTAGATCAATCTATTACCATTTATCCCAAGATTTAATTAAATTGTTACCATGCCAGTGCATAAACTATTCCCATTAGCACAAGGGTGTTATGGAATTGTTGGCAGACGTTGTTAATATTATGTTTATTTTCCTTCCAGTCAAATCCCCGGAATCGTTGGGTAGTCACTTGGCGTCCTTACTCTCAGAAGCAGAGCACAGAGTCCAGGAACTCGGCGGTAACACTTCAGGGAGTGGTAGCAGTGCGACCCTCCTAGAGCCACCAAGTCACAGGGCAAGTTTCTCTACGCAGCACAACAATTTGACTGGCTGCGGGGGCAGTGCCGAGGACAAACAGCTGGCCCTGTGGGAGAGGAGAGCGCGGGCTCTGAGGAAGATGCTGTTAGGATTCGATCAAGCTAGTGAGTACAGTGCGCTCGCCGTGCAAACCTCTGGAGCTGGCAGCTTCAAAAGTTCTAACACAGTTCCGCCGAAGTGTTTGTAAATTAGTTTTGAAAACTCTTTCTTCGCTCCAGGACCACCCGATATGCCCTTCCTGGTGGCTGTGGACGTGACTGGTACCACCTCGGTAACGGTGCGCTTCCAGGAACCGGATTCTCACGACTCACCGATCTGCACAAAGTTTAAGATTCAGTGGAGCCTGGAAGAAGGTTTTTCCACGATATGTGGAGAACGTGAGGTTCTGGATATGAAGCAGCACGAATGCAGGGTGGAAGGACTTACCCAGGGTCAGAGATATCACTTCAGGGCTGCTGCTGGAAATCTTAAGGGTTACAGTAGATTCAGGAATTCTAGTCCAGCGCACGTGACACCTAGCAGTGAGTGACATAATATAGATTTACTTAAAGTTATAGTACTGGAGTACCTTGTTCTACTACTTACCATGTTCCAGGTTGGAGGGACATCGATGGTCGTTTACCAAGGTTTGCTGGAAGATTGGAACAGCTGAACACCCTCTTCACGGACATCAGAAGGCCAGAATATACTCAGGAAACGCCGGCTGTTCAGAGACGGAATCATCGCAAGAAAACTACCATAAAGCAACTGTTCACTGCTACCAGCAAGTTCCAGAAGAACTTGAGACGCGGTGTATTCCTTGCTTGTCTTCTTTATCACGAGGATAAGATCCTGGTTACCAACGAGGACTTTCTGCCTGTGATTGAAGTCGACGAGACTTATCCCAGTTGTATTTATAATGACTTTCATTGGCTAATGAAGGTCGCTTGTACTTGGGACGACGTGAAGTCCTTAAGACAAGACATGGAGAAGAGTCATAGCAGCTCCACGAATCACTTCAGAATAAAATTACTACAGGCTGCTGCGCAAATGCAGGTCAGTACCTTCTTTGATCCTCATCCACGTAGAGTAATGATATACTGCGATACGCATGATTCTATGCTGTTGTTGTAAATGAACTAATGAAGTATGTTATCGTTTCAGGCTGCTCTGTGCATTCAGGACCTGGGGCAAGTGTATCATAAACCAATCAGAGACATTCAGGGCACCCTGGTGTTCTCTACTGTAAATTACGTCAAGTCCCCAAAATTGGTATCGGTTCTGAACAGCCGTTGGCTTCCATTGAGTAAGGTTACTAAAAAAATCATCACTCACGAAGACAGCAACGTGGCGGATATCTTAATGGCTAGCATCCAAGAACAGATGACCTATCACCAGGTCAGCAGTATAAAATTGTCAAGAGGTCTTTACCTGGGTTACCTCAAAATGCAGAGCAGCGTGGACCTCATCCAGGTCGTCGTACCCACCAAGTCACCGAATGTCTTGCCTCACTGCAAAATTCGCGATAATCCTCACGTGTCTGCGTAAGTTTTTAATCGATTGATACTATCCAAAAATACCTGTCCGTGTCATCATTAAAACCAATAAAATGATCGATACCTTATTGTCATTTTTAGGGACGAATGGGACTATCTAAGGAAGATGACACGCATCCAGGCTTCGGATTCTTCCACGGAGGATTCAGAGGAGAAAGAGAACGCAACCAATGAAATTCAAGGTACGGAACAACAGAAACTCTTCGTCGACCTGGTCTCAGCTACAGCGCGTCGTCTCTTTGGATACATGGAAATCAGTTCTGAGGATTCTCTCGTGCATCGACTGTACGACGCGGAAGTAATAGACCTCACACCTGACGTCAGCTTCCTGATCGCTGTACCACCAGCGGAAACTGCTTGCTCGGTACCTGGCACTAGGGAAATCTTATTGCAACGTGGTGATCTCCTATCATTGCCCATTCAAGTCTTCGAAATGGTCCATCTAAATACCTACCAGAAGGATGTAATAAACCGATACTCCAGACTCAGCTGTATATTAGAACTTGATACTGCTCAAGCGCAACATAACCATAGAGAAGCATTCAGCTCTTCCGAACTCTCCATCGCTAAAGACAAGCTGGCCAGGTTACAGGATCTTCAGTCGCAAGTAAACGTAGTATGGAAGGGAGCAAGATGGTTGATCGATGTCATCACCTTCGCCAGGGACAGAGGATCCTCGCAGCAGAACGTAAGTCACTTTGAAATTACCCTTAAGGAAAAATTTGTCTTTTCATGGAAATCCTGGTGATTTCATCAAGTACAGGCACATATAATATAAATTGTATTATGCTCTAGGTAACAACACACGTGGCAGGCATATCCATGAAGCATTTGCTAAGTCTGGATCGAAATAAGAACAGCAACAGCCTAAAGCGTAGCCTGCTACAGCTCCCACCTAGAGATCCAAAGCTAGTGAAATCAAGTCCAGGTCGTGGCAGTTGGCCAGGACCAAACCTAACGAATTCATCCTCAAACCTATTGACCACCGAGTTCAGCAAAAGCGAACAGCAGCTACCCAATGGCGAATACATTCGCAAGGGTAGCAACACCTCAAACATTTCAACCGGTTCCGAACCCGCCAAGTCCGTACCGCCGAGCACAACCAGTAACGGCAATAGCCTGGTCCCGATACCCAACACCAGGTTGCCGCCGTCGAAATCCGAAGACACGTTGCTCCTAACAAAATACAAGCACAGTCCCAGGAACCGTAGCGCCACCATAACCTCCGTTTCAGCGAGCACCAGTCCGTTGCTCAGTATAAAGCCTATTATCTACGGGGGATCGTTGCTAAGCGTCTCCACGGCGATGACGAACACCACCAGCATGCTCAGCGTCAGTAACACCAACTCTGACAGTCTTCATTCGCTGAGCAGCGACGAGTACTCCACGCCGAATTCTAGTGTCTGCTTGAAGCCAGGTCACACCAAGGTCAAGCTGACTAAACCGACAGCCAGCGTGGCAGCCATGGCGACTTCCGTGATAGAGAGTCAGCTGGACGAAGAGAAGGACGAGGCTACTATGATGCCTGCACCTCTACCAGGCATTCTTCAGGTACACCTTTCCTCCACGACGACTAGACGATGCTCCGGTTGGATGCGAGCGTACTAAAGCAGTGTTACATGGATACCCTTGTTCTTCTTGTAGGAGACCCGAGTCTAGCGAGACTGTTGGAGCTTGCGACAAGCTCGCACGGTCTCCTAGAGTAACCGAAATAAAACATGAGTAAGACGTTACACGCTGCTCCGTAAGACGCTTCGCTAAAGCTTTCGCTTTCACAGATTCACACGTTATGTTTTATCTATTGGTCGTTTCACCTTACTTGTATCTTTATATCTTCATTGATCTTTTTTTATCTGGTTTATCTTGATGCACCGTTGTGTCGCATGAATTGGCTTGTCGACTGTCTTCCGGTTTATGTCGATTGAATTTGAAGATATGCGTGTTCGTACTACGCGATACGTCAATGTATTTCGATAATAAATAAATCATGTAACCGGGGTCTCAACTTTTAATCGAGGTGTCTTCGCGATTGTTCTCTGTGCCGTGTTGCGCGTTTACTTCTTGGTCAATTGTCACGGATTCTGCTTGGGCAAGGATTGCTTCATGGTTTGTCATTGCTTTCAGGTTTACGCTGCCTATGAGACTGGTCTGGCGTCTGGGACCAGCTTGAAGCTTCACGTGACACCTAGGACGACTGCCAGGGAGGTCGTTGACCTTGTCGTTAAACAGCTCAATATGGCGGTGGTCCTCAAGGGCCAGGAAGGCCCGATTTACACGGCGGACGAGCTACCGAATTTCTGTTTGGTCGCTGTTATTGGCGCTAGGGAACGATGCCTCAGGGATGACTTCAAGCCGCTTCAACTTCAGAATCCTTGGAAGAAGGGCAGGCTTTACATCCGGCAGAAACAGGATGTACTCGCTGCCCTTGAACATAGCAGCAAGCATACGGCGTACTTGTAGCATCTTGAGGTCGACAAGGAAGGAGCCGACCTCGTCTAGATCCTCCTTCTCTTCCGCTCTCTTCTCTTCTCCTCTGCACAATTTATCGTGAACGATTATTTTTTTCGTTTTTTATTCCAAGTTTTTTGCATTTTCATTTTCTATAATTCAGTTCATTTTATGCGCAGCCTTCGTTCTGAGTGGAATCGGTATAAATACGGATTATTTTACGGTTACTTCATTAAGGCTTCTTTTGCGTATCCTTTATACATACCTTAACACTAAACGTACCATCGACCGGTCATTTGACCGTTTTAAAGCCAAAAGTACATTTATTAAAAATTGTCGGTATGTTTAGTGTTAACATTATCAGCTATAAGGGAAACATATCAGAGATATAAGAAAACTTTGTAATACAAAATGTACGTATTTAGTTAAACTCTGCGAAACAAACTGACTTCACTCACGACGAATGTGGCTTATCCTTATTAATTGTTGTGGTATCCGAAACTTGGAAATTGTAGCTTTACGCGGTTGGCAAAATATCAAAAGTTTTCATGTTTACGAAAATTTATACGTAATGCAGGAACAAGAGTAGCGAGAGAAGTGTTAGAGGTTCAGGATGAGGTCGTTATCAGATTTAAGAACCAAAAGAAAAATAGCTATAACACGTAATGTAAATGTGCGTTAAACGGTAAATTCCGAAATTCGGACGTCGCCAAACGTCGTTTCGAAGGCGTTGCCGAAAATATTTTTCGAAAGTTAGATAATTTGTAAAGGATCGACGAGGAATACTCAAGATATTTTAAAATATTATATTCGTAGGTATTGATCTCAGTGTACTAATTAAATGAGAGCGCGATCATTGAACGAGAGAAGTGCATCTTATTCTCGTTATGGAGTAAAAGAAAAATGGCGTATAAAATCAGACAGACAGTGAGAGAAAGAGAGAGAGAACAAAAGATAAGCTAAAGCAGACATAATCTTTTTCGCAGTGTACAGTAATGCCAGGCCCGATATTTTCTTTTGTTAATTAATTTTACTTTCAATTCTCTCTCGAAGCACGGCTTCGTTCACGAGAGAATAAGCAAAAGATGTTATGCATTTTTGTAAATATATGAAAGCAGTAGAAAAATATCTTTAAAACCTTGGTTTAGTCAGTTAGTAGGAAATTGAGAGAATTATAAGACGGTCGTAAGTGCGATAGAGGGCGCTTAATATAGACTGTTTTAGGATAGATTAAAAAAAACATTGTAATTTATAGAAAACAAAAATTTTCTTTTAATATTCGCTCTCTAAGCCAAGAGATGCGAGCGTAATGTATTGATATTGTCTCTCGGTTGATTACTACTGATAAACAAAGTCCGTCAATGTATCTTATCTTTGTATTCTTTATTATAATTTCATACACCCACCTGGATTCCTTAGTACTGCGTATACCTTCAGAGTTCCTAGACAGTAAAGTAGAGTAAGTTTTAAAAGTAAAAACGTCCCGCACGATTATTTGTCGGTCTAGCGATAAGGAGATAAATCCTATACTCGTTTAATCTTTTATTTAATATTTCATTGATTACAATTAGAATGCACGTTTAGAAGTTCTATTTCGGAGAAGGATTTTTTTTTTAATATCCTCGACTGTCAAATAATCTATTTCGATAATGGTGTATCACCACTTTCAATTATGTAAATCTTTAACGGACTATGTAGCGCTAACAAGTGGCAAAGAGATATTTAAGTGTCGTCAATTTTCGCATGATGAAGTATAATGTGCTTGTATATATAGATATACGTATTGCTAATATGTACAGGGTGGCTCAAGAAGAGTGAACAATTGCGTCGTTGACATTATGTCTTATCACGGATTCCAAGTCGAATGTATATTGCAAATTTTCTTGATCCATCCTGTGCGTCATTCGTTTGGGAACAGTGCGAATTACCCTGTGACACCAAGTACGTTTAAAGAGTGAAAAGGAAGAATGGAGAACATTGAGAAAGAAGTGCAAAGGAATACAAAAAAAAGGGTCGTAGAAAGGAAATAGTCTTTTGGGAAGCACAAGGAAAAAAAAGAAAGACCAAAAATGCTAAGACTGGCTGCTATCTAAAAAAAAATACACCAACAGTTCCATAAAGCCAGTCGAGGCTCTTCGCCAATTTTCTTTCTCGACTATGAAAATCCGCTTTCAGGTAATATCGGCAGCTCCTCGAATAACGTATGTGCCAGGAGGGGAATTTCCAGGTACAATAGGGAAAATTAAAAAGTGAGAGCTGATATTACTGTTCGACCTGCAGGTGGACATGGCGTTAACGTTAAAAATTAGTGGTGCACATATTTTTTTATCTAACTACAAAGAGGAAGAAAAAAATGAAATACGATAGACAAAGAAAAGTGGCGCTAAGTGTTGTTAAGGTAACATATGTATAAGGAACGCGTGAGAGAAATCAATCGATTTTATTGTACGTATGCGTGTCTTATAGGCAATCACGCGTGTACGTACGATTATTGATTGCGTAGATCTAAAATGAGTGTTTATCGATGTTTGAGTGTATAATATTTGCGTAGATAAGTGTTATAATTTTTTTTTTTTTTTTTTTTTTTTTTTTTTTTTTTTTTTTTTTTTTTTTTTTTTTTTTTTTTTTTTTTTTTTTTTTTTTTTCTTCATTTTCACGCAAGACCAAGGAGACAAGAAACTCTTTTGTTTGGAGAAGGTGTGAAAGGAAGAAATTGGAAGCTGGAGGATTTTTTTGGAAAATCAATCCTCGCAGTCTGTAAATAATTGAGAGACGTAACGTGTCCCCGGAAGCGACGGAGTGGCTTTAACATCTTCTTAACGAGATATCCTGTTTTTTATTCTTTGTTATAAAAAATTGCGTACGTCCAAATGATCCATAGACCAAGATAAAAGAGATTCACATTGAATAAAAATTATAGACTAATTAATACGATTTTTGAATTGCGAAGAGGGCGCTGACATATACATTGTTATCGGTGGTTACGTACTGCGTTATAGATAATGAACAAAGAAAAACGAAAGAGAGAGAGAGAGAGAGAGAGAGAGAGAGAGAGAGAGAGAGAGAGAGAGAGAAGTAACGTTGTATTTATAATAGAATAAGAAAAAATAAAAGCAGAAATTATCCGGGCATACGGTCATACGTATTAAGGTATCGCATTACCTATGTACAATAGAATCGATGTTTATATAGCTGGAGAAAAGCTTTCTTTTCTTTTCTCAAGGACACTGTGTACGCAGGAATCGCACGAATAAAGAGTAATATTATGTTAAAAAAAAAAAGAACCAGCATCTCATTACTGTCAATCATTACTGTACATACATATGTGTCCTCTGTATACTTTCCAACCCGACTGTATCCAGCTTCCATATTTTCTCCTTGCAAGGAGTCATAATTTCCCATTAAAATTCCATCAATCAATTTGTATGATAAAAGTCCCAGGGTCAACGTGAAATAAAATATTCCACAGGTTAAAGGAGTAATTGGATATTTTTTTCTTCCTCATAAAAAAAAAGTATCATTCCTTTACTTCAATGGCCATTTGTAAATCTAACCAACGGGAAACGAACTGAAACGAACCCGGACCCTCACGACCGAGAGTCCCGGTGACCCACTTCCGTCTTATTTCTCGTTTCATCTCCTTCCTCGCCGTCTATTCTCTTTACACCCATGCGACCTGGGTCATTAATTGTCCGCCGATTTATCCAAGTATCAAACTTTACGACCCTCTAGTTCACAGTGACGGAATAAATAAACTTACTGACAACCCTTACACCAATAAAATATTACGTCTGGTCATACCGCCATTTTACGAAACTACGTTGCACCGCGGGAGAAAGTTTGGTTAATTGAAAATGCAAATTATTATCATTTCACGCGTAGAACGGAGAGTCACAAGAGACGTTTCATGCGTTACGCAACACTCGACTTTAATCATGAAAGACAATTAAGTCTTCTTCGTTAATTATGTTTTGTAAACGTATATCCTTTCAGTAACGAAATTTCGATTTAGCTAATATCGATCGATCGATGATAAGGATCAACGAATTTATAAAGATCGCGATTTGCTTGTCAGAGTCGAAAAAACGTGTCAACCGCTGTTCTACGTATTGCTGGATTGACGGAAGCTTCAATAGAATCATACTGGTCTCTTTGACCTCGGGTTAATTTCGTTTTTTGCTAATGTACAGTTAAAATTCATTGTCCTTAAGTGGGGCTTTGTTAAACGGTATTTGCTATAGCTATCTCTTTCTCTCTCTCTCTCTCTATATATATACATACAGAATCGATTGCACGACTCGAGCATTATTCTTCTGGTATTCGCCCTCGATTGACCCCGATAAAGAATGTCCCACTGCCGATACCAATACATGCCTATCAACATAAAATTGCAAATGCTAATATAAAGTCATTTGATCGTACGAAGTCAATCAATCGAACGTAAAACTTATGGAGAATACAATGACGCTGTCATACAGTAATGAACTGTAAAACACTTTCTTACTGTCTGTTTGAAAATATCCATTGCATAATTTACCTCGTTGAAGAAGTCTTTTAATCGATCACGATCCAGATCTGCTCGATGGGTTTGCAATGTCGTAATATGGTCTTGATTGATTGCTATGCTGATGCAAGGTATGTTTCTCTCCATGTACTTCTTTTCTTTTTTACTTACGTTAATTAAAAAGGATTAATGCAATGACGACTTTATAGAGAACCGGTCGTTTCGTCGATCCGGATTCTTCTCTATGTTTTGACCCCATTGTACCACTGACCTACTGACGAGATCACATCCTTACTCAAACCCAGCTTACAATTTCCATTCTGGTTTAACCTGGAAAATGCAATTGTGCACTGGTGGAATGTTCCCGGACGAAGAATGAGAAGGAGGCATTTATTCACTTTAGTTTAAATGAATATTCGATAAATTTGATATACATTTCCATTACGTTAATACCATTAAAGTCATTTAAGATTTACATTAGCTATGACAGTTTAAACGACCTATTCGAGTTTTACTACAGTAGTCAAGTGTGTTTCTTTTAATTGTACATTTTTTTCGCGGGGGATTCAAATTCGCCTATTGAATGCCATTGGGCTACGTTGTCAGTATCTAGTTCGAGGCTTTCGTGTTTGACTGCCGCGAGAGACGTATGCAGTCAATATGGGCCGAACGTTCGCTGCGTGAATTTTTACGTTTTGGAGGTTAAGTCCTCGGTAGTGCATAACCGCGTACTTGCGATCGTGACTCAGAAGTCAGAGACCAAGAGTGGAGCGCGTTTTGCCCCTTCTTTTCCAAAGGCAACGGAGCAGTCTCGCCCGAGAAAAGAGAAGAACCTCCTTGAGGCCTACTAGCCAGGGTATTTGGAACACGGCCGATCAGTACCTACGACGCGTACCTGACAAACGGACGAGGAAACTTTTACACGTTGAACGGTAAAAAAAAGGAAAGACTTAAAGTGCCCCTCCTGCGTGCTTTTATGTTTCGGTTTTTTGTGACACGGCTTTCTCCCACGCACGTTGAACCCGGTCAAATTTTACGCGCGAAAGATCGTACAACGCCAATCGCCATATTTCACGTATCGCGTAAGTCAATTTATTTTTATACATTAATCAAGGTGAACCGAACGAGGATTTATTTATTTCTCTTAATTTCACGAGTCAATTTTTATTTGAACTTGAAGTCAAACCTATTTCTCTTTAAGAATCCTATTTAGACGTTGATTTGTATCTGGTGGTGGATTCAAATATTGCCGTTGTGTAATGCCCAACGCAGTAAGTCGTATTAATAATTTTTATCCGTCTGTGCGTATCCTATTACTTTAATTGATCGACAGGTAAGTTCTTCGCTCAGGAAAATGGTTATGTTGTGGTTTATGTAATTAGCTAACCTAGATTTTCTGGGATTACGATCGGCGAATCACGTGTCATCTTTCACGTCAAAGTAATTCATCTGTGACTACATTCGTATTGCACTGTTGCAGTAAATCATAGAGGAGCAATCAGTCGCTTGGAAAGTAAAGAGAAACTTCTTCAAGAGTAATTGCCCTTGTCACGTTTCTTGAGCCATGAGGATAAATACAGATTTTAACAAAGTTGTCACATAAATTTCAATTCTAACCCTTACAATTGTTGTGCCGCGTTCCTAAGTACGAATTATCGCAGAAGTATCGTTCATGAAAATTATTTCTTTGCCCAGAAAGAAGTCAGGAACGGTGCTCGAACTGAAAAAGTCCATAAAGATTGTCAAATATGTCGGAGGGTTGCACAAGGTGCAGGGGCGCCAACTACACAGGAAGTTCTTTGCAACTGAGCTCGACTGCTGCTGGTGGAACCGGAACAGGATCAGGGACTGTACCAAGTTGCACGACTGCACGAAAAGTACAGGTGCGAGCAAAAGTTCTCTATGGTTCAGGAAAGGCCATAGCGAACATGCAAGCTCAGGAAAAGGCCGCAAGACACTGACAAGGTAAACATTTTTTTTTAATGTTTTTTTTTTTAAAATGAGTAAAAGCAATAGACCAAATTCGTGAAACAAAAGTTAAAAAAAATAAGATGCATCTGTTAAGTAATAGTTATTGCAGTTTTTAGTAATTACAAATCTATCTGGCTTAATGGGACAATCAAGACTCAGGGGATTCCCCGTGTAAAAGTCGCGAAAGCGGCCCATCAAAATTTCATTAAGGACTTGCCGACAGGTTGTCACGAGAGAGAACACTCATGCAAAGGTCGTCCACACTGAAATAATTTACTAACAAGATGCCTCACGCAGGTTCTGGCTTAAGGTATAGGTATAACAGTAAAAATGTGCAAAAACACAGCAAAAAAAATATGAAATCGCCCCGGGCAAACTTCGTGCACGGATAAGACGGCTGGAGCAGCTTCTTCGCCGGTTAGTACCTGGCTAACCACGAGGAGGGAAGACCACCTTGACCTTTTACTCGAATCGTTAAAAAATACTTGAAAAAGGGCTCATTTTTAATTTATTATTTTTTTTTCAAAATTTTACATTTGGTGTTTATTAAAGTGATATGGATTAATCAAAAGTGAAGTCAATATTGGTGTCAAATGTGATACATGATGTATTTTAAAATATTGTGAGTCATATTTTATAATGATTCTTCATATTGAAAAATTTTATTCAAAAATATTACACTCAATCACATTCTTACTCATGACCCTTCTTATTTAGTAGTCTGATAAAAATTTCAAATACTGTTTATGACCCGTTATAGTCTTTTCGTAAGCGTTTATGATATTCGGTTCCAGGTTACCGTTATACGTTTCTAACAAACAGACGGCTTATGTAGAGAACTTGTAGTTCCTTTTTTAATCCGCACATCCGGCAGGGGATTGGTGCGGTCCGTTTGAAATTACAGTCATTCCAATTCCGCTTCTTTGCTACCATTTGCTTTGAACTTTTTTCCGAAAATCATAGGTTTCGCGTTATCTCGTTCCGAACGAGTTTCAGACAGTTCCGTTTTAAAGGTTGTAGCATACTCTTGTCTTAAAACAGTAAAATCATATGAATAATTTCTTTTATTTTATAATTTTATATTCTTAATGAATGACAGCTGTAATAAATATTGATAATAAAAAAAATGTTATCGGTTGATTAATTTCTTAAGAGACTCTTATCACGTATATCAGATTTTTATTGCGTTATCTACACAAGTAACGATACCAGTCGAAATAATAAATAAGCAATAAGATGTAATTTGAAGATTATAAGATGTAAGTTAAATTGATTTTTTAGATAGTGAAATTATACGCTATTGCAATTTCTATTATGTTTATTGTCTTGTTTAGTTTCTCTTTTATTAGAATATTTATTGATTCTTTGAAAAAAAGGGGTAAGGTTTATTGAGTATGTCCAATGAGAAACAGATAAGTGCTTTCCGGTTGAAGATTGTGAGAAAGTATCGATAATAATAGGAGTCTTTATTTGTTAACAGAATCACAGTGTTTTCCCTTTCCTCGATATTGGCCCGCGACCTGTTGAAGAACCACGAGCAAACTGACGTACAACGATCTTCGCCAATCCTGGAGGAAGATGCTGGAAAAAATGTGGAGAAAGCTTCTATCATTGCAAGTGGGGTCGAGGATATAATAGAGAGAAAGCATGAAGATCCAGACTCAGATTGTCTCGGCTTACGGAAGAGTAAGGGTGATAACGTAAAGATTCTGGATGGACCAATTGATTCTGGATATAACAAGGAAATTGAATCGGCTTCATCGCTTTCGCCTGTTTTGGAAGATACTGAAGAGATAAAGGGAAGAGGAAATGAAGAAGAAGAGAAAGAAGACGAAAAGGGAGAGAAATACAATGGTAATTTGATTAACGTTGTCACTGAGTCTATCGACTTCACGGGACACAATGGTGGATCTATTGATAAGAACAGGTCTCTGATATTTAAAAAAACACGATCATTTGATTTTGGTGATAAGGATGATAAGAAAGTGATTTTTGATAACGAAGATATTATGGTGAAGGGTTTGATCGGTGAGAGTCTGCCAGAATTATCTAGGGAGTATGACAAGATCGTGCAGAATGTTCAAAGATTGGTTGGAGTTGAAGATGAGAAATTGAGAGTTAGCACAAACGAAACTTTTGATTTTGGAAAAGGAATTACTAAGGAAGCGGAGGACGATAATTTTAAGAGAATCAAAACTGAAGAATCTGTTGGTAGTGAGGAGACTGGTAGGGTAAGTGATGTCACTAAAGAAAGGACAAAGCAGGATAGCGGAGGAGAAAAAATTTTGAAAAATATTTCAAGAAATGGTGGAATTGAAAATAATTTACGAAAGAGAGAAGATGACGAAGTTTTGAGTACGGAAAATGTCAGTCCACCGTCAGACACCAAGGAATCCGATACTCGTAAAAGATTTATTAAAATTTCGAGCTCTTGGGAAACAATGAATTCCACTGATAATGAGAATATCGAAAAGATTCAATTTTATCCACTTAAGGGAACTACTGTGAACTATCAACAAACTACCTTCAAGCCCATCCTAGCCGAGGAGCTGCGTAGGAAACTGGAGCATCCCGAAGAAGAGGTACAGTATCTGCCAATGGAGTCCCGGAGTCCAGGGACGCAGATAGAAAATAAAAATCAACAGTCGAAAGGTGAAGATTTCGAGCCGAGCGAAGAAGACGTAATGGCGGCTGTGAATTTTGGAATTCGAGCTATGAAGAATCTCTACCAAGTCAAAGAACCTGCACTATATTCAATGGGTAAGTCTACTGACAATTATCCATACAAGAAATGCAAAAAAAATAATTCAAATATTCATTTATCAATATTTCCAAAAATCTAGGTCTCTTTTTAAACCCTGACAATCCGGCACGTTACGTAGCAGCTTTCAATGATCAAACACCGGAAGCAAAAGAATTGGCAAAATACGGATACGCCGCTTTGGTTGGTGTCAAAAAGTTTATAAGCAAGTAAGTCAAATTAATCTCGTTACCAATATTAATTTCTTTCCAATTAGAATAAATTTTCGTTAAGTGAACATTTTTGGGAGTGTGCAGGGAGAAAGCTGTTTGAAGGAAACGATCACTTAACAAGAAATGCCACTCTTCAACGGTTTTTATCAGAATTAATTTTTCCTTATTTCTTCCCAAACACGCGATCCTTCCGAGCTTGTTCAACAGCTTGGTAGCTACTAGTGGGGTTAATTCAAAAGCCCAAGACGAGAGTGATCGGAGGAAAAGCGTTCACTTATCGATCATTCACTTAACGGGAGTCTACTCTACACTATATGCTTTAACATTAAAAATCTTCTAATTTGTTATTTCAGAAATCCTAATATTTCAAGAGGAATAGACATGCTAAGAGCCAATAGACGTTTTTCACTTCAAAGGCAATGCCCTCAGAGAGGAACGCCGGAATGTCCTCCAGCTAGTTTGAGATACAGAACAGCCGATGGAAGCTGTAACAATCTTCAAAATTTATGGTGGGGTTCTGCCATGTCCACGATGCAAAGGTCATTATCAGATTATATTAATTTTATCAGAATCATTAATTGCAGCAGTTTCATACAATTAATTTGATATACGCATAAACAATAGATTATTGCCTGCATTTTACGATGACGGAATACAGTCAGTGCGGAGATCAATAACAGGAAAAAGTCTTCCAAGTGCTCGAAAAATATCTGACTTGATTCACGAGGATCGAGACGTTCCAAGTCCGTCGATTACACACATGCTGATGCAATGGGGTCAATTTATAGACCACGACATTACAGGTAATAAATTACCTAATCAAGCAAAATAATAAGATTTTACATGAACGTATTTGAATAATTTATTTATTCATTTCTTAGCCACTGCTCAGACCAGAGGATTTAACGGAACAGTACCGCAATGTTGCGTCGGTCGTGGAGATGATTTTCAGCCGCCAGAATTTATGGTAATTTCGTGGAATATTTTAATCTACCTGAATAGAGTCACGTGGTTTACCTTTTTTGTCCTGGAAAAGAATAGCTGGTAAACTGTAAAAGTTGAAAGGTTTTTTTAATAATAAATTCACGTCCATTTCAGCATCCAGAATGTCTGCCGATCAGGGTATCACCTAGGGACGGATTCTATGGTCGATTTAATATACGATGTCTTGAGTTTGTAAGAAGTGGTCCAGCACCTAGAGAAGATTGTGGTTTTGGACCTAGAGAGCAGCTTTCCCAGGTGACGAGCTATATAGATGCTTCCACTGTGTACAGTAGCAACGCCAGAGTCAGTGACAGTCTCAGACTATTCCGCAATGGTTGGTTAAAATTCTTTAGTTTAGTAATTAGTGTGTCTATTGATTGGTGTACTTACTGTGTTATTATCAATTGCAGGATTATTAAAGTATGGCAAACTACAGTCTAGGAAGCCCCTTTTACCCAGACAGAATCTTCTGAATGATCTTTGCCAAAGAGGATCCTTAGCTACTGATTGCTTCATGGCTGGTGATGGTCGCGCTGTTGAACAACCAGCACTTACAACACTCCATGTTGTTTTTCTTAGACAACACAATAGGATTGCCACAGAATTGGCAGCTCTGAATCCGCACTGGAGTGACGAAAAGTTGTATCAGGAAACTAGGAGGATAATAATAGCACTTATGCAGCAGATTACTTACAGAGAATTTTTGCCAGTGGTTCTCGGTGAGTTTTATAGGAAATATTTCAAATTAATCTCTCATAGTATCGATTAATTTAAAAAAAGTAAAATTCGGATTTATTGATTTTCAATTTTATTCTATTTCCAGGTAGGGCAGTCATGGAGAACTTTGATCTAGATATTCATAATAAGGGTTACTTCGATGGTTACGATCCATCCATTAATCCAAACGTAATTAATTCCTTCGCCACCGCTGCATATCGTTTTGGCCATTCTCTTGTCCAGCCAAGTTTTGTTAGATTTGATAGCAGACATCGTCCAATACCAAATAGTATGTCATTCAGTAAATATGTTTTGATACGCAGTAATAGATTCTATAGGTATTTCTAAAATTCCTATATGAATGTAAAACTTGATTAATTCGTTCTTACTCCAGATGTTTCTATCCACGATGAGTTCAGTAATCCGATAAACCTGCAGACTGCAGGATCAGTGGATAGATTGCTCTTGGGATTGGTCAATCAACCATCTCAAACGAGAGACGAGTTCATAACTGAGGAGCTGACGAATCATCTTTTCCAAACACCAAATTTTCCATTTGGTATGGACCTGGCTTCCTTGAATATACAAAGGGGTCGTGATCACGGGATTCCTCCTTATGTGAACTGGCGCGAACCATGTGGTCTCAGTCCCATCAGGAACTGGGAAGATCTGAAGCGAGTGATGCCGACATCTTTAGTTAGAAAGTTTTCGCAGGTTTATGTGTCTGTGGAGGACATAGACCTGTTTCCTGCTGGACTCTCCGAGTTTTCCGTTCCTGGTGGCCTCGTAGGACCCACCTTCGCATGTATCATTGCTCAGCAATTTAGCAATCTACGAAAAGGAGACCGTTTCTGGTTTGAAAATCCAGATGCAGAAAACAGCTTCACTCCTGCACAGCTACAACAGTTGAGGAGAGTCACGTTGTCTCAGATTTTGTGTAAAACAATGGACAGCATTGACACCATTCAGCCATTTGCATTCCTGATTGCTGATGACTTCAGGAACAGTAGATTGCCCTGTGAGAGTGCACTGATTGGCAATCTTGATCTGAAACCTTGGATGGAGAGAATCTCTGGAAGAACGAACAGCCGGGAAGAGGCTGAAGGTATCTCTGCTGAGTCGAAGAACAACGAGAAGAGCTTTTTAGCTATCTTCAAACCAATCAAGACTAATATACATCAGCACAACAAGATCTCCGTAAAGCGTCCTCTGGGCTCACATGAGAATCTCACTATTGTTGTTCAAAATAATGCTGTCAACTCACCGGTATTTGTGAACGATGCTTTTTCAGGAAGCAACTTTCAATTTACACAGCAGACAACACCTGGCTCACAGAAACCTAGTAAACCATCTCCGGGACATGGAAGTTTTGACAGTACCAGTAAACCGTTCCATCAAGGAAGTTATGGTCAATCTGAAATTCCATCAGGGATACCAAGACCTATACAGAGTCATCGTCCAAGTGGACCATATATCCCACACAGCTTTAACGATCCCAGTAATCCAAATCCTCCAAATTATGGATTTGTCACAAAACCTCTTAGTGAACATATATCCAGTGATGTATTTTTTGACCCTCTTACAACCTCTACCAGCAGTCCAACTCTTTACACCTACTACACGACATTCAAACCTAGACCTACAAGACCTTCCAAACCTGTTAATCAACACGATGATCCCAAACCAGGTTATCCACAAGGTAGTATCGGTTATCAGGATGAAATTTCGAGACCACTCTACGGAAGCTCTAGACCACCTCACGGTAGTTCTAGACCAACTGGAGGATCATGGTCATCCAGCACACCACAGTATGATAGTCACAGTCATTCACCAGGTACTGACTCGACATGGACCCATAAACCAGTGTATGGTGGATGGAGTTCTGAAGAACCCTGGTCCAATAAACCAATCAGTCAAAGTGATTCTCATGGTTGGACGAATATACCTTCCTATCAAAACAGACCTAGTGGTAGACCCACGGTGCAGAGTGATCCAAATAATTGGTCAGATAATCCAAATGGACAGAATAAACCAATTCCATCAAGACCTCAATATTGGTCTGAATATGGAGGTTCTACAACAAGATATCCATCAACAGCAAATAGGTATCCATCAACAACCAGCAGATATCCATCCACTACAAGTCGATATCCAAGTGGCAATTTTTACTACGATCAAACTTTCCAAATACAAAATGCTCAGGCGAATATAAATCCGCGTCCGCTGAAAACACAAAGTGTCACCATCGTAACGGAAACGGATGAGGCTGTTCATTACACTGAAAACAAACGTTACGGTTTCGGAAACAAGAACAATGTCAAGATTGAAATTCCAAGGCCGCTGATAGCCGAGCACAAGGACGATGATGTCGAATTGTTCGAGAGAAATGAGCGTAGACGACCTGGACAGTATTATTACGAAAAGAATGTCCTCCATCGTTATCCTGACATGACGTCAGTTAATCAAACAAATTTTAACCAGAACAAAACTCAATATTATCATCATGAAAAAAATGACGATTCGGTTCCTTACAAGAACGAAGGTCAGCATATGACGTATGATGATGACGAGGACGAGGATGTTCCATTGCCTGACTTACTTGATGAGAATGATGATGATCAATCGTATCAGGGTAAAATAATGTTTGATAGTAAATATCAAATTGAGCATCTAAATGACAACAGGCAGTTGCAATTTTCGGTAAATTCTGTTACTAAAGCTCACATTGTTCAAGAGGAGGTCAAACTTACTACTACTGCTACGATCATTTTGGACGATGATGATAAAAACGATGGTTCCAAGGATCGAGCATCCGAGGATTATAATAATTATGAAGAGGCTGACGACGATCTCAAAGGAGCTTATTCTGATAATATCAGGAGCGTCATTAAGAATTTTAACAGGTAATTCTCAAGGAAGATTGTCGTTGACATATATTTATTATAATTAATTGTGTCTCTGATACTTGATTCTTGAAATTGATTATATTTTTATTCAAATTCCAGATCAACGCAGCGCAGAAAAATGTCGAAGACGACGTCGAGTGTCGAAGACTCAAAAATGGCGTCGAGTGAATTCACGAGTGCCAAGGAATCGTCGAATAACGTTAGAAGACAGGGAACTTAGGCTTCGCCGATAATCTTCCTGTTTCAATGACTGTTAAATAGTAGAACATTATATATTAATTTAACTCCAAGATTACTCGTACATAATATTTAATTCGAATATTTGTTGTCTACCAGTGATCCGTGATCAATGGAAATAACCATAAATCGATTAATCGCATTCCTAGTACAGCTGTTATCTCATGAAATTACTGAGCGGCAAACCAGAATCGAATTGTTATTTATTTTTTTTGCTTCCAGACACTTCACTAGTCTTATGTATCTCATTACTAGTTATCTAGAGTCCGACCTGATTTATTATTTCGAAAGCAACTTCGTACTGCAAACGTAATAATTTTCGAGAGCAGCACTCGAGTCGAAGTGTCTAAGTACATACTAGGTATAATTGCCATTGGGAATTCTATGAAATAAGCAACGAATCTCATATTAGAAAATTCCTTTTGGACGGAGTAGCCAGTGAACGCACGTAGATAATTTAATCAGGATTATATAATGTTCATAAAAATTCCAATAACCTACATACCAGTAGCAATAATTAAGCATAGTCCAACAATCAGATTTACATGACTTCCCTGTAAAAAGAATTTTGTTAAGCGTTTATAATACGAAAGAAATATTCTTCGCGTCTACAACAATGAAAGATGTATTAGTTATTTACAATTACGAATATTATTAATATAATTTTTATTATAATATTGTGACTCGTGCCCGACCTAATACCAGACTTCAGAAATAGTGTTAGTACTTCCTGACCAAAGTACCACGGTCTGACAGTAAATATAGACTGGTGCAGCTTGCTCGAATTATGCTCGGCACGTCGCGGCAGCTTCTGTTTCTAAGCAAATAATATCATGAAAATGGCCTAATTGAACTCGTTGCTCCAAATCTTGTATTACAGCTGAGAGCAGGAGAGAGAGGGAGAGAGAAGGAGAGAGAAATAGTCGGTGAATGTTTTAATGAAAAAAGGGAGAAAAAATGGGACATCTCACATGACGTCCATTACGTGTGCTTTTGTCACGATTCCTTTTTGTTCACGTATACATATAATGCAGCTCTCGTTGCAAACGTTGCATTTCTCTATGCAACGTTAGATGCACTTTTTAAAGTGTTTCATATTCTACGTGTACAACTTTGTGCATGTATAAAGTCGATGCTTCATAGTCGGGTGGGTTATATAAAACGATGAATTTTTAACTATCAATTTACTTCATACCGATTAGCCTTAACAGAGCGTCACGTGTTACTTTATGTGACTAGTATTGATTTTCAAAAGAATTTGAACTTTGAGTAACAGTTATTCATGAATATTATGAATATATTGATTTTTTTGAAATCGCACCATGTTCTTTTTTTAATATACAAAATTTTTTAATTTTACATTAATCATTAAAATCTTAACGTATTTTCGCTTGGAATTCAAGTCATTTGAATTTGTCTGAGTGGAATTCAAAGAGCGTAGCCTAGTTAAGAGAACTTTGAATCTTCCTCGAAGTCTCGTTGACGGGTGTCGACTATTTTAAGATCCGCAAGTTTCTGACTCACGAGTCAACGAACGATGCATAAATTGTTACGTTCGGAGATACATTTGGTGTCGAAGATGCAGGATGGAATTTCAGGAAGTTTATCGCCTAAGAATTGTCTTTTTGTGAATCACGATAGTGACGTCAAGCGAATCACAATATACATATAAGAATCTTATAAACAAAATCATTTGCCAACGATAATAATCGCTGACGAACCACTACTGATTGAATAATATGGTTGGCATGATAATGCTGGATAAGCACAGATAACGTATTATCATTGAATTGTATAGATTGTTCGATATACCAGCTCTTGTACCATGTCGAGTGATTGGATCGATTTGATACCAGATAAAAAGCATGAATGATTTATTTTAGTTGTGATATTTATAGAATTATATTTTCATATCAATTCTTATCATAAACGTCAATAAAAGTAACGGGCGATTTTTTTATCAATTGATAGTGCACATTTATAAATTATACAGATATAATGAAAACAATAGAAGAAAAAATTAGAATTATTTTTTCATATTTACACATTTCCGTAAGTTATCGATTTTAAAAATTGGGCATTCGTCGTCCACGTGTACGTATTTTCGTGAAATTTCGTTTAACCCAATTATCCCCAGTGAATTCCTGCCGCGCGAATACGTCAGGCCGTGCGATTTCGCATATGATTTATCTTTGAAAACGGAGTCGAATGTCGTACAAGTAGAAACAAGTTCGCACTGTCTGAAACCTTTCACCTGGTCGAAAATTAGAAAGCCGTTAGAGCAGCCATTGCTCTCAAAGGCGCAGGCGCACCCTCTTTTCCTCGAGGGATAAATTTACGTGAATATTCAAACGAGGAAGATAGTTGGTGCGTTAAGGTATTACTACGGATCGAAAAATAAGAAAATTTTCAATGTAAGATTTGAACAATCCAGCGTCAACTTTTGACCTCGGAAATACTCGAAATCTGATGAGTGAATCGTGTTAAGAATTTGTAGAGAGATGTACTGCTATACAAATTAGACGTAAAACAAATTTCAGCTCGATTTCGCGGTTTTGAGTTTACCGTAGTAATACCTTAAGGAATGATCGACAAATCATTTGTGCCTCAGGCTCTGCTAACCTATGTGCGTAAACACTTGGCTCGAGAATATCGCTGCTTCTGGTTTACGGGGTCAGCTGTGAAGAGCAAAAGGAAATTCAAGTCGGGTCGAACGATCGTAATGCAGTTTTCGATGTCACGACCTGGTTTTGTACTACGCGCTTCGACTTATCTGGAGACGACAAGGCGTCCGTGGCGTCGGGACGCAGTAACAGGTTAGTCTATCATTTAACTAATTAAGTTTGACGAGAGATGCTGTTGCGACTCGTGAAAGCCAATCTAGCACAGATGGGAATAAAAAGAAATTCAAGGATAGAAAAAATAGAGAGGTTAGGACTCGTTACGCAGATATGGACAAGTGCTCGTCTATTTTCGTGTAAGTCAGCCTTTTTATTTTAACCTGCGACAGTTTAATTCTCTGGCTTAGACACGCCTAGACGAGGATTCATTAGGTGAGACTATTTGGAGGCTGCTTTGTAGTAACTCTTTAAAATTGTAACTGGTAAGGAATGGCCGTGGGCTGCTTGGATTAACAGCGTTGCTGTACGTTATAAGCGTCAGCCCAATACGAAAAACCGCTAAAACGTAGGAGAAAGAGAGTTATTAACCCCTAGAGGGTCATAACCATTAGTATGCATCACGACTCGGTACAGAATCCCACCTACATATTAAATCAGCGAGTAGTAGCAATGGTAAAAATGCAATTCGTGAAAAAATCGTAATTACCTGTCCGAAACATTGCAATTAAGGTTGTCTCACAAAAATTCTCTGGATTTTATTAATTTACTATGCAAACTTTTGACGTTTCAGAGTTCATCAATCATCATGCATCGTGGTCAACAAAGCAGGATTTTGTTATCGACAAAGATTTCTCTTATGATCAACTACAAGAGGATACCACAAACAAATAAAAATCTGTAAGCATCAAAATAATAAATAACTTTTATCAATAATAATCCTCTGTAATATTTCAAATAATACCGCTGGTCTACAGACTTCAAAGTCCCAGCACAGTGCGCATGCGCGTCGAAGCAGGAATGGCGATATCGGAGCAGCAAGACAAACTGGACGCATACTGTGCGAGCTGGTAGTGATGAGAAGAGCAGGATCAGCCGCGAAGCTGGGGAACGCTGGAAAAGGAATGCACGAAGTATATGTTGTAATCGTAAGAGTGGGGATAGACAGTTCAGATTCCATCGTTCCGAACGGCCGAGCGTAGGAAACGTTGGACAGTCGCTGGCGGCGCGTCCCGGGCGCTAGTCGCTACGATGTTTTCTTGGTGCGTTCGTTTCAATGGCCTCCCAGGGCTCATCCTTGGCGCGCTCGCGTTCATCCTCATCTTGTACCCGTCTAGGGTCCAGTGCAAGGATGACTTTGCCTCGCGGATGCTCGACATTACGGAAGATATGGACGAACAACTCAAGGAGATAATGACCTCCCAGGTCGTGACGTACTCGACGATCAACAAGACAGGACTACCCTACAACGCCACCACCAAATTCAACCCCAAGGGCATGGGACAGCTGTACAATGTGACGAATATGTTCATCGATTTCGTGCAGAGCAGGCAGGCCTACCCCGAGGGTAAGTCCAAGTGTTTACCTTAGTGGATTGAAGAATTGTTTCCTGTTTAAAGACTAGAATTCGCCGTCTAAGGATACGCCCTGCGAGGGTATCGCGCGAAATGAAAATGGCCGGCTCGTTGTTGGTAAACAGACCGCTGTCAAAACTACCCAACAAAATCGATCGCGTCTACCTACACTCCCCCTTCATCAGCCCCATCAAATTTCGTTAAACATTTAGAATATTCTACGTTGCAAATCTTGAGTTTTACTATAGTGCAATGCTTCACTTTTCCTCTATTACAAATCTTGGGAGTCCTCTTCCCCGTATTCCTCTTTGTGCCTGTTTCTTGCTTAACAGTGACTCAAGCAATCGTTGACAGATATACGGCCACTGAATAGTCTACTACTCTGATACACTGACGGGACATGTTTTTCACAATTTATTTCTGGCTTCTCAGTTATCCACGTTTACGGAATGCACTGTGATAAACGTCTTTACTATAGTCGATGCGTAGGAGTCCGTTGGTCCTTGTAAGTATGGCTTATCTCAAGCGGTATCTAATCCTTAGTGATCTCACCGAGAAAAGCCTTTCTGATTGCATTGACTTATCTTTTATCTTGACTTTTCCTTTTGTTCGCTACGTTTAAAACGGGAGGCCGATCGATAACGGAGAACAACAGCATTATTGACGTCGAACAAAGGGATGCTCACGTTTCTCTTCTAGCTTCCTGTTACAATTCTCATAGTCGATGCACTGCTTGTCTGTAGCTGAAGAATTTTCAAAATTTAATTTCTAGATAACCAATATCTTCTCTTGTCTGTTGGTGCTAACCATTTCTGACCAACTTCTTTTTTCTTCTTTGATACGAGGGCTGGATAGTAACAGCTGTTCGCTACGGACATCAATTTTATTTTATTATCCCTGCGTGACACGGAGAGAACGTTGACATTTAATCACCTCGTTCCAATGGTTCGCATTGATTTTTTTTCACCTTTTTCCTCCTTCGTCATGCTTTATCGATTCACATTTATCGGCTCGACTGAAACTATCGCGGCTTCCGTCGCGAAACGTCGCCAACGAATTTATCAAATGAAAATTGACAGGTTTGAAAATTTTTGTAAAATACCATGATTAAGATTTCACATTAATTATTAACGACCTCACGATACCAGTTATTGTTATCGGTAGTCATGACATTTTTTTTTTTATACGGCTAGTCATAATTAATTTTCATACACAAGTCCTGCACTGTGATTAAAAGATCTTATTTATTTATGATAACGTTACAGTGCACTCGTTTACTCGAAAGCAAAGTTTTCCTCGAATGCCTGATAACTGATAATAAACCTACAACCAACCAGTCATCTTTTCCCTCGGAATACTTTGGTTTACCCTGGAAAAACCATTGCGGCTCCCGGTCTTCTTCGGTTAAATGAATTTTACGACGTCGTACCAGCCGGATCTTCCGGCATTTCAACGGAATGGCTCCAACACCCGCGCAAAAGAATTTTTCGCATTTCCACAGGATTTCCGGCGGTTTTTCCCCACGAACAAAATACCATTCCCATACGCTTGGTAAACTTTTTTTTTTACCGCTGAAATAAAACTGTAATATTCATATAAAGTTTCCCGTTTGCGCATAAGTTATAATTTTTTTTAAGCAAACACAGGATTCCTACTTTTTCCTTAAATCCACTAATTACTACTTTGAGTCTTGCCTATTATAATATCAAGTCAGATACTATTTATATTGGAATGAATATCCTTTTTAAAGAATTTATTTTTAAATTGTGCTACGATATTTTCATCTCATCCTCACAAATAATTAAACTATGTAGTATGATTTTTTTCAATCGATCAAAATACCTGGAGTGCCAATACTTTTGACCGCTACTGTACGTCGAAATTATACTCGAGTATTTATAGCTCTTTTATTTATGCACATTGTGTATCTCGTAGTATTATATACATATATACTGCCATATGTATCCTAGCATATAGAAACAATTGACAGTACCTGTATAATATATATGTATGTGCACATATATAAACTTGTCCCATATTTCGCAAAAGTGCATAGCTTGTAACGGTAATCGAAACGATTCATCATTATTGCATTGATGGAATTCGATAAAGCAGTCGGGGGAAGAAAATTTTTTTTCTCGTGATACAACTTCTAAGAAGATGAAGAAGATCTACGTTGTACGAGTAGAAAGTGCAAATAAAAAATCGTAATAAAAATTATATTAGATAACGAGTCGTCGTGATGGAATGACAGATAAGGAATGACTAATCTTCAATCGTGATACATTCAATTGTTTTTACGTTTTTCACGTATTTTATAGGAATTAAAAAAAATTCTTATCACTAACCAGCCGGCTGATTCAGTATCAAAAAATTCGACACGTCCTTTGTTCACGTCTCAAAATCCATAATCTATATCAGTACGCGTTAAAGTACCGTTGCACTGCAGTCTAACTTATTTACGGTCCATAACAGTTGGCACTATTGTTACACGTATATGAGACTTACTGGTTTCCACTTTAGATATCGATTAATCGAATTTTAAGTGATACGATACGAAGTTGGTCGAACGTACCGGGAATGTGACTGGAACGACTAATCGTTTCGCGAGGAGAATCGAAATCGATATCGACGGCGTTTTCCTGAATCGATTATCATTAGGACACGTCAGTGTGACGACGCTGGGGTCAATACGGGTTTATTAAATCGGTGCAAACTTCATGGACATTGACAATGAAACACAAAGGCTAATTCACTCGGGCGTGTCTAATCCTCTGTAGGAAATCAGTGAAGCGAAATTACGTCGTTGAAACGAAACGACTCATTACTCAGTCCGACGCTTCAATTTTCTGCCAATCAGAAGATACTGGAGGACATTGATATTACTGATTGACAGAGTCGCTGGTTCTCTGTCAAGGTTAATTAAAAATTATAACGTTTTTGGGGCAAAAAGCTAGTCATTTCGTACTTACGGTAGGGGTATAGGTTAGGTTAGATTCTGATTGACACCAAAGATCAGTGCATGATTACGGTAACCCTATAATATTTCTATTATCTCGAGAGGGTTCAGTTTCCATTGAATTACTGTTACGCAATTATGTAGGTCTACCCTCGCGCCACGCCAGTGGCGCCATCTACGCATTATAAATGAACCTCGAGGGTATCGAGGGTTCGCCTGTTGGACGTGGTACAAAAGTGTACCCGATTAGACAGGGAAACTGGGCTGTGTCGATCATGTGAATCCTTTGTCACCGCAGAGTTAGATAATATGTGTATGCGTGACTAATATGTACGAAGAAAATTGTTTATGTCCCCCCTGTTTTCCCCCTCTTCTCCTCTACTCACGGTCCTTACGCTCTAACCTAACTCGACGCTTTCGACACTCACTCGCGTTATGCGCCAGTAAACTCGGCTTAATATAAAAACGTAAATAGACAGAAAAAAATGTACCAGCCACCAAGGATACCGTAAGAGGAAGGTTAAAGTCAAAAGCAAAGTGGTACTTGTTGCGAATCCACTGACAAAATTCCCTATGAATAATTCATACCCAGTTCGGTATAATGATTTTGAAAAAATGATCAACTACCGTATACTCCGTGCAACGTAACTCGGTCGTATACATCCATAACCTGAATTCAAATCTCAACCGTCGTTTCGCAACTGAAAAAACAGCACAAGTCATTGGTCGAGGGGATACAAAAAGGATAATGATGATTAGATCCAGGATGACTGTATCCAACCTTCAGCAACTGTCAATTCAACTATCACCGTCACTTATAGCCACTACGAAATTCCTCGGCTGGCGCTGGCAGCCAACATGGCGGCGAGCGAAAAGCGGATACGCCGCATGCTGAGAGTTAATCATCGGTTAACAGCGCGCTGAACTCGAGTTTATGCTGGTGATTGTATACTCTATATGTATACATACAAACATCACGTACTCATGTGTGCACAAGAATATCACATATGCCTGAGTGTCCATTGCGCCTTTGCGATTCTCATTGGTACGTCCGCGCGAATGCACCGACGTTGTAAACACGTCGACGTCAAATTCTCGCAGCCCAACTTCACGGCGTTTCTATACTCCGACCACGATAATAACGACTAACCAGCATTGCCCCTGTATGAACTTAGCTTTAGTACTGGCACGTAACTAAAGCTAAATTCATTCGACTGGAATAATACTCAGACCTTTGCCTATGGAATATTTTGTCCTTCGTACGTTGGATATCCCTCTATAGTCTGTATCTGTATACCTGGGTGTCTAGGTATAGTTTAATCTGTTTCTCCGTAATACTTGTATCTACGGATGGCTATTGTATTTGCATATAGTACGATTACTAGTAATTCCTGTACTGCTGCCTATCTCTCTTGCATGCACTAATCGGAATAATCCTCACCGCAGCCTTTCACGTGTACCTGAAATATATATAGACAAGGCAATATAGATATACTTATCGTCTAGACTGTGTAGTATGACTTTGTGTTATGTATGTAGAGGTTAGGCGCAGTGACAGTTGAATGACTTAAGTTTCGTCAGATAAAATCAATGAATGACCGAATGAATCTACTAGGCGTTTTATCACGGGAAAACGGGAATCTGTTATCATTGGCTTTGATTGTTATGGATTGACTGGATTTTTGTTGAGTCATGGGTGAAGAAGTATACAGGTGTATAAATATATATATATATATATATTTGAATGAATTACATTGTGGTATATGTATTCTCAAATGGTTCTTCTTGAATGCTCGGCAGCTGCATGACGTTAAGGAGAACAGTTAAGCTAATATACGTAATAAAGGCAATACGCTAGATGAGGTTGCGTCAGGTTAGGTTTGATTTTATTGATGATATATATAGGTATAGTCTAGTCACAGTTTATTCGTAGTAATTTACGTGGGGCTCCTTCGCTCGTTTGTTGGTGACGTAAATTTATTGTCAGATTGGATGATTCTTTGTTTTTTAATAGTGGATAAGGATTAAGGCTGATTTCCAGTGCAAAGTCTGATCGTAGCGGGAGGTGTCGCTAGGGGGTCGATTGGCTGGGTGCATTGTGTGGCAGGCTGGACACGTATTTATTCAGTCTTCTGAACCATGGCGCGCAAAGTAACGGCTTTTGCGGTCCGTAGCTAACTTCACGATTAACTACGACACAATGTGGCGCTTTATTGTTTCTTACGCGCGGGGATGCTTGGGTAGTGGGACTTGCGGGAACTTTACGCAACCAATCGACCTTGCAGTCGTTTAGTTGGAATATCTTTTGTCGATTATGTACAGTCTGCTAAAGAAAATATTGGTGTGTGGTCTTCTCGCAGAGATTTGTGTTGACAAATTATATTTGCTAGCGTACAAGGTACTCCCGCCATGTTTGCGGTTATGCTCACGTCGTTTGCAAGGATGATGGATTTATTTTTGATTCCAGATATAATATCCAGCTTTCCTCGACAGTTCTTACTGCACGTCTGTTCTGCTGTTGCGCGTCTTCTGCAGGACTTAGTTTTTCGGTTCCATGCTGAATCAGGAACGAGTTTTTGCGAGATGGGGATAGGGTAGGTTTTTCACGAGCAGGATCGGGTTCTGTAAAAGGAGGAGACGTCGCTGTCCCCTGCCGTTGATACAAGTCTTGGGTACAGTCACAAACCTCCTGGAATCCTTTCTCAGGTCGCGATACAGTGTCGCGCGGTGTATTATGGGTTTCGAAAAATACGCCCCTGTCCCCGTGGGCGGCTACCACGTGCACGGGTAGTTTTGGGAAAAATTTTTAATACAAGCATCCATTCCCGTGTGTTCTATATTCCTTAGTAATTGCATTTTGACTTCCATCGAATGCGTTGATTAAATATAATTTTTGTTATTTGGAAAGAAATTCAGTTTTCACTTTGGTCCAAGTACGACTACATCGAGGCGTATATGATATTTTGTAGGTTAAGGTTCAGTTCCTCTGACGATACTGCAATTTGGTATCAGTGTACAGTACCAGCAAAATCTTAGTAACCAAACTTTCTTCATCCGTAGACAGACGCCCTGCGCGGCGCTCGAATAGGAAATTTTGTCGGGACGCTTAAATATGCACAGGGCGATGCATCCGGCGCGACGCTCCTGAACTCCTGTCACTTATACTGTCTCTTGATCCTAAGTCTCTTGGATCCCCTAGCACAGGCACCAGTGCACTATGGGTAGGCACGTATGTACACAGCTGCAATCTAATACGGATGCACGTAGGTATTAGACGCCACGTGCACACCGAACACGTGTGGTCATGTGTGTACGGGAGAGTATATGATTTTATTTATGTGCAACACTGTATGTACTCTATATATGTACACTGCGGCATCGTCGACGTCGCTCGTCAATTTCGATAAGACGTCCCGGCGTCTAGTTTATCCGACGCTGCCGGTCGCTGACCTCGTTAGTAATTAATCCAGGTTTATTAACGATCGAACCCACTACGATCAGCTATAATCGATTCGAGGACACTCCGCGTTGAACCACTTAGAATTCATTGGTGGCTACTGTGGGACTCTTCTGAAAGAGAGAGAGAGAAAGAGGTTAGGTTAGGTGTGCAAGATTACGCCTTGAAAGACTGAAGCGTTAATGAGGCTATAACGGGTGACTCGATGGTACCCGGAGGGCTGGTTGTATTTCTAATAAATTAGTGGAATGGTGAATTATACATGGTGTCGATATCTAGATATTTTTATCGGCAGAAAGGTATTGAGGGGGATGATTTGACTCTCGTATTGCATATTTTTACTGGCTGATCAATATGGCGACGTAAGCTAGAATAGCTTTGGTTTACGTTTCACCATACTGCTAAGCGGTTGGAATATTTACATTGTGATCACCACTATTTTGGCTTTGCTCGTTTTACGTCTTTTGACGATAAATTCGTGGCGATTCTTCTATTTCGAAATTTATGGTAGGGACAATTGATATGTAAATAATCTGGGTTAATTTGAGGTGGTAGTATTTTTTTTAGGGATGTTTAGAGCTACGAAGACCTACGTCACTTCTGTCTCGTTATTCATATTGAAATGGACCAGTCACATTGGCTCCGTTGACTCACGTAGTCCTGGCCGTTATCCTCGTACGTTTCGTATTTCTTTCCGAGAAGTTCCTGTTGATGGAACGGATGAGCTAAGATATCTTTTTGCTCTTTTTCTAACTTTTTTTTTTAATACTTATTCATGAACCCAACTGTGCTCGATGGAGCCTGTCGTGACGCGAAACCTCATACTTTCCTCCATTTTTTACGGTATCGTCTTCAATCTGTATTTGGATTATAATAAGATTAGACCGTTATCGGTCTTTTGTTTATTTTCGTATTCGAGAATTATGTTTGAATACAATTTTCAATATGACTCGCGTAGTCCCTTTTGATCACTAACTGGTCTTTATTGTTAAGGGAATTTTCATCTGATTAATAAAGAATCTAAGTGAGGATATTGTATATACATTTATATTGTAAGGCTTGTACGGAATGTATAAGTGTATACTCATACAGTTCAATATCTGTATACCTTGTTTTTCAGCAATTTCACGCCGTAATTTCTGTCGGAAACCGTCCTTCTCTCATTGGCAGTGACCACCAGTCACGTAGACCCTTCGATTTTTGTGTTTTCACTGATTTCCTTTGTCGCAATCACGTACACGTGCGTAAAGCCAGTCGAGAGTCAATAGGCCTTTTGCCTTCTCTCCCTCGAAAGTCAAAAGTACGACAGCCCCACGCAGAGCCAACGGTTGTCAAGTCTGTCACACAACGCTACAGAACGGACGCCACCATAACCTCAAAATCCACGAATCTCCCTGATGCGATACAAGTTTCACTCGTGCACGAGACTTTTCTTGACTAGCGTCAGTGTTACCGTAAACGGGGTATAACTTTGTGCAAAACTTTCGAATTCTCACAAAAACCGAAGCCACCTACTGAATCATGGCCTTCGTTCAACAATGTCAACGGCCGCTACGAATTCGTTACATTCCAACAAAAATGCGTTCAACTACCGCGTTCCCATTTTCCGTAATTTCACTCCGTAATTAGGTAGACTCATTAGGTGACATAGTATATATCGTTCCGTGTCAGCGGATCGTCCATTTGTAGAAAATCTTCACGAAAGCACTAAGGAAATAAAAGGACTAGATTCTCAAAAGGACTTTTCACTGCCAACTGTACTTCTCTTGTCTGAGCCTGCACGTGCACGTGCGACCCTAGTCCAAACAATGACTAGCGTAGTAGCAAGCGGGACGCTATACCACGAATCCAAGTCAAAACCATAGTTACACGTTGCTACGGCTTATATTGCAAAACTCGGTAATTATCCAGAAAATTAATTTTTCCATACCAGCATTAATTATCACTGGCAATTAAGAGCACCATGCAGCCTCGAAACTTTCAGTGTTCTTTTTTTTTGTAGGCGTACCGGTTACGCCGATACAAATACGTACTTATACAAAAATACTCCAATACGAATAGTTGTGAATATAGGATTAAGAAAAGTGACAGATGGGTAGGGCTTGAACCGGCATTGTAAGCGGACAGAAATATAACGTGGGTGCGAGAAGTATACCCGAAATATTAATTAAAAAAGGTGTGTCTTTATACATTCCTCTTTTTTCCCTAAAATTTATCCTGACCAAGCAGTGAGAATCGATCCTCTCACATTTGGATATACAATTTACGAATCTAGTTGTCTCCTCTCCCTGCGGTTTCTGTCTCGCGCGACTCTTTACCGTCGAACAAAGAGTCCAGAAGGAAGTAGCAGGGACCACATGTGGGATTTCGAAAAGAGCGTTACTATGAATTTAAACTAATCGTAGCAGACGGACACTAGCGACCACTCGTCTAATGGCTGTTTAACGGATTGGATTAATTGACGCCGAGGAACGTGTTCAGCAGGGCCGCAGCAGGTCTTTGGAATACGTGAGTCATGGCTAATGAGAAGAACCAGCCTAGCAAGCTGGAAGGCGTTAAGTATTATTATGTACAAGGCACGTAGGGCAATGGCTGTGTAACAGAATTTCTCTAGTTTACCCAGGTAATACAGTTTGAATATGTTCGTTAGGATATACTGAATTAATTCAAATGCAGCTATACCCACTGTACTGTTGCACCAGTGTAGTTTTTGACTGTTGGTGAAGTAACCAGCGTGCGAACGTTCGGAATATGATTCTGTACGTCATTGTGGTTTTATTTCTCCGTGGCTTCTCTTGGCAATCGACGCTTTATTTGAGAAACAGAATTTTGTATGGAAATTTTATCCTCGTCTTTAGCTGTACAATCTTGTAGGTCCTCACCACGTGCAAAGACACATGGGACTTTTTTCTACTGTCCTCTGCTGTATGTATCTGCATGATAACACGTGTAGGGTCGAGGATCGTCCACGTGTTTTTTTATTTTTTTTTTATATTCAAGCATCCTCTGTAGATTCACTGTGTCTATTTTATCTTGGTTTTTAAAAATTAATATTCGTAGGTTCTACGCTTCCTTCCGGTGGGGCCAGGCACTCCTCGACTGTCGTAAGGATATACCGGGTGATCGAACTGGATCGATGAAAAGAAGCGAGATCGATTGGCGAACTGTTTGTTAGAAATAGATCGATACCTTATATCGAGAAGATCGAATGGTTTTTCCTCGACTTTTCGAGGTCGCCATTCACTGCACGCTGTCGACTTTGGTTTTATGTGAATGACCTCACCTTTTTTTGGAGGGGGGAGAGGGCTAACTTTTTTGCTCTTTGTCTCAATTCCACGGAATGACAAATTGTTACGGACGGAATCGACAGAACGATTTTACTTGTCTTTGGCGCAACCTTTTTTTTTTCTGTTCACGCGACACGGAAAACACTCGTTTGTTCCCTTCCTCTTGCACAGAGCCGGGATCGTTAATTTCTCGAGAGTGCCGTTAGACCGTGTAAAACGTTCCTAGTCGAGATACTTACACCAGATTATCTGGATACAGCGGCACAGGTTGCCCATGTAACGGGTGTCCAAAAGAATCAGACAAGCAGTCCCCGCTTAGCCTCTTGGAAAACTGACGAATTTTTTCTTACCATTACAGTCATCACTTGGACGAACAATTCTATATGGTGGAATCGCGCGTATCACATTACTCGACACACGGCCAGTGTATTTTAATCCAAGATATACATAGCTAATAAGCATTGACATATAATGACATAACCCAGTATCGATGAAAGCCTAAAGATAATATTTCCTATTTCCTGACGTACGAATACCGTCACTTCGCCTTATACCCTGTGACCGTTTTATAAGCTAAAAAAATTTTTTTATATTAAAGCAAAATAAATCGTAAATCCTCCTGTCAATCTGTATTTATGAAATTGTGTGAGATATAAAAAAAAAAAATTTTCAAATTTCAAAAATAGTCTACGATAACTTCAGTGCTAACGAACTGCAAGTCAATTGAACGAAGACCCAGACTTAGGTCATCCGGAATCGATAACGCTTCTCCCTATCACTCTTTCTCGTAACTCGCGATGAAAGTGCAACGAACGGCAAAGGAAAGAGACCGAGCGCACTGGTGGAACACGCAATCCGTGCATCATACGTATATACACACTCGGCAATACTGCATGACGTCAGCGTAACAGCGTCAAACGTAACAGCAACGGAACGATCGAACGATCGTGCTCCAGGAGTAAGTAAAAGAGCTGCGGCTGTGGTCTCTCGGATTCGTGCCGGAACAATCGACCTACGCGATTCCGTCATGACTTGGTGCAGCTACGTGGGAAGCGGTAATGACTTTCTACAGTGCAGGTCCGTGACACAAAATTGGCCTTGCCGCTTAGGCGTTGACCGTTACGGCCATGGAGTGCACTTTCAATGATTCCTATGCTCATATATATATATTAAATATGTACACCATGATTTTTGGCAACCCTGACAGTCCAGACGGATTTTAGTACAGACGCGTTACACGAGTCTCGGTATACTTAAAGTTTCGACGAACGAACTGTAGATGTAGATAGAATGACTTGTGAATTCCGTCATTAAAAATTCATCAGGCAATCACTTCAGTGCAGACACGAGTCCCGGTACACTTGGAACGTACACAAACAGTAGGTATGGTTGACTTGAGAATTTTGTCATACAAAAATTATGGTTTCGTCGTTGGATTCTTTGGCATTGACATGACTTGTTTTTTCGTCTCAACAAATCGTTACGTGTATATGGACGCTTGTATTATGATCTGCTACCGTGTCGACCATGACGAAATTGTTCTTGTCGCTTCCTGTCCGTTTCCATTACGCGACATCAATTTCATTTCGTTTGGTCGTCGTTTCAATGGACCTAGGCGCGATGAAAGGCAGCCTTAACTTTTAAATACGATCTTCGATGATTTTTTTGTCGTTCATTGGCTTCAGTTTTGGGGTGTTTTTTTTTTATAAATATTTCGTGATCGATCGTTCATGTCAAAATTGATGATACTGGTATGCCTCTTTGTTTGCTATCCGTCTGTAGGAAGTTATACTACGTACGTATCGCGTTCCTGTCGAGGATAAAGAACAGGAAGTTACGGATATGATGTATTTCTTCGTTGCCGGATGGTACGACGGAGCAGTTGTTTTTCGAATGAACGTAAAGCGACACTCATCCTGCTGATTCTGAGAGGAAGAAGCTTTAGAGTTTTTCTAGATATATGTCACGTAAGTATCTCTCGTTTCTGCGTTACCTTTTTAGCTTCGATTGTTTCTCCCGAGACAGACTGCGCGGCGGCCAGTATGTCAAGCTGCTGCCACGGCTGTCACTACTGCCGACGGCCGGCAAAGCCTCGACGTCTGCCGGTACTGTAGCCAGCAGACGTGGTAAAAGACCCGAAGAGTCTCTCTTGGGTTTTAACCTGAAAAAGCATGGAGGACTTTGTTCTTGAAAAATAATGAGATGTGTGTCTGGCGTTGTGCGCATGCGCGTACGTTCTACGGCGCTACTGGGCAGGCCGACAACGGCCGTTAAAAAAAAAAAAAAAATTCCGACAATCGAATATTTCTTTAACAAGATGGCCGTCGCGACCCACTTTTCTTCGTTCTGTTGCTGGGACTGGGGAAAAGAGGTTTTTTAGGGAATGAGAATTCATACTTTCTGCTTTTTATCGCTACCTTGTTCGGTGACTCTCTCGGGGCCCTGGTGACTGTTTTTGTTTTCTTTCTCCACGTCTCTGGCGGTATCGGTACTGCACTGTTGCTGATCCTTCAGATACGGGCGAACGCCGTCGCCGATTTTTCATCGCTTGGGAACGCTCCTTGTCACGCGATCTTGTACGGCGCTCTGAGCCACCCAATGAAATTATTCTTCCATTTATCTTATCGCTGCTCGTAAATTTTCTGGTACACCCGATAGTTAAAGTGCAGCAGTCACTTGCGCATTGAGCCTTGCGCGCTGGGATCTATGCTTAAAAAGATTTTTTATGCTTCATTGGTTATTTTATACTTGATGCACATGTACTCGTATATTTTATTTATCGCCTTATATTCTGTTATCGTGTTTTTGACTGTACACATATATATATTTTTACGATCGCTGGATCCGGAAAATCAAGCGACGTAAATGGAATTTTGTAACAAAAGGGATGATTCGTTGATTCGATCTAGTTAATCAGCACGTCCACGTGTTAATACAAGGGCTATCGATTTTTATGGTTTAAAATCGTGATATCTCAAAATATATCGAGAATCAGGAAATATTATATTTTTAGGTGATCCCTCAGTAACTCAATATTTTGGTAATTTCGGAAACTATGGAAATCAATTTCCACGTTAAGTATTCAATAGAAATTATCTAGTTCGTTTAATCTGATATTTCGTCGCGTCTAGATCCTTCTGGTTATTTGTTTTTGAGTTTACGATTTATTTAATTGTCTTAATTATTTGCATAATTCAACTTTCTATCACTAAGTTTAGGCATAAGTCTGTACTTAGTCAGGTCCTGTGTTCCTAGTACACTTGAATTTCTTTTGGTATCCAACTGAATCTCCATTAGCTCGTTTGGGATGAATGACCAGTCTGTCCAAGTTCTGATGATGTGTGAGATGTGGATCAAATTTTAGATTTTATATTAATGATCTGGTAAGATGAGGTAGAAGCCCTATATTCGGCTTCAGTTCTGCCTTTTTGAAAATATTAAGGACGGTTAGAGGCCTCATACAACGGCTTTAGTTCTATCCAAGAAGGTTTCCAGTAAATTATAAATACTCTAATTTTAGTATCTTGGATAAGTTTTTGAGTGTTCTTGGTATATTTAATATGTCAGTTACGACTTCACTCACGGCTCTAATTGAAACTCTTAATTTTATCTTCAACTGTACGATTCAACGCGCTTCAGAACTCTGATGTTGTTCTTTTAATTTCTAAATCCACATCATCCCGAATGTGTCTTCTGACTCCCTTTTTATAGTAGTAAAACTATCTACGATTGGTCAGTATGAATCCCCTTCCTCAAAATTACTAACATATCCATTGACAACTAACTTTTTTCCAAAAATCATTATACAAAGTCGTACTCTGTTATCTGAATCTCCTTGAACGTTACCCGAGAAGATTCAGACTTATCCTTTTACTTGTATCTTCATTGTTCGATATTAGTAAAATATTATAAAGTATTTAATGTCGTTAATGTGTCATATAACGATTTATTATTTATTGATTATATGATATTAAATGATTATAAGAATAATATTTCATTATTAGATTGTAAATAATTGTAAGGCGTGGAACGTAACAATATACGTATTAGGGAATTGTATATTAACAAAAATTGCAAAATGTTCATATTTGGTATAGTTAATGGATTGGACATTAAGCTAATGAAAGTATCGATTGACCCAATGGGTTTCTGGGAGCGATTAAACAAAAATATTTCAACTTCCCTACGCGGAAGCGACTCACCGCGAATTGTAAATTTACCGTCGAATACCGATAAGCTATAGTACAGGGAAAAGGCGAATATTCAGAAAGGCCATGAGCTAGAAGCACCACGAAGCCGACGGCACAGGGCGAGTTTTCAATTAAAGCTTGGAGAATCGGGAGAAAAATCGGTATTGGCTCGGCGCAACCAGCCCTGATTTAAATCTGGGCGTTGGATGACTCTTGCTCGGTCCGTAAACCCAAACCGGAAGAAGGAAAACAAACAGAGAACAAAGCGCACCGGGTTGCGATATTGAAAAAGCTTGGTAAATTAACGAGTGTGCGAATATCGATGGCAGCTCGGCTAATATTTGATCAATTGATGAATATCTTCTTTATTAGGATAATGTGGGGGAAAAAAAAAAACTTTTGTATAATCCGTTTATACAAGTATTTCCGGTTACGCCAAGCTTTATGAGCGGTTTATTTGAAGATTTTTTTTTTCTACGACTGAGTCATCTTCTCGTACATTTTTTTTATTCTATGCCGACCACATATTCCAGTAATGTTTTTCTTGTTGGTTGTAACACCGTCTTTGGTCTAGTCTCTGTACTTAGTTATATGGTAGTATCTGTTTTTTATATACTGCCTATATTGATCAACCGTGTTGTCTGGCGTGGTGTAATAAAAATGTCTGGGGCAATTAAAAATCGGTAGATGCAGATGATCTAGGCGCGGAAAAGGTCAACTAAAAAGTATTGCCATAAACATCGAGTATGACTGTCGAGGTCAATGACATTTAAAAATCGATCCCAGCGCGCGTCACCTTGTCGACTGTCGTCGCTTAGGGATTTGAATACTGATTGTTAGGGTGACTCTCTTAGCGTTAATAGTAAAATGAAAATATTTAGGTTTTTATGATCGAACGATTTTCAAATTTTTTTTGGATTTTTTAAATTTGTACAACTCCGTTTTCACGAACTTATTTTTTAATTCACCCTTGATTAACTGGGTCGGGGTTTGGTGAAAACTTTTCTTTCGATCGACCTAAATTCACAGTCACTCGTGACTAACTAACCGGCGGGAAAATTCAAACGTCACGCCTAACGAGCTGCCGGATCTTTGTTTACCTGACGTTTACTCGTTTATCTTCGACGTTTGCGAAAACTCGTTTTGAATTAGATAAGAGAATTGGCGGATATTCAATCGATGGATTTTTATTTGTTATTGATGATTTTTAAAGTGGATATTGAAATTTTTTATAGCGTACTATAAATTGTATCTATTTTGGGTATTTGGATGATTGACTTTTTTGGGGAGGTAATTGGGTCAAGTGTGTTTACTGCTTAGTCGGGGAAATTTTGTTAGCAATTTCATTGCGCTCGGTAGAAATGTGCAACTGCAGCTGCTACGTTTGCATAAAATGAAAATTCGTGCAGTTGGAAAAGTTGATTATGGTAAATTTTGCTTTAATTGCAAAATCTACGTAGAAATCGCACTCCTCGTATTTTACTAACGGTACACTCCGGTACAGCAAGCTTCAATTCTCTAATGACGTCACAGTCATCTGGAAAATCTCGTAGCAGACGATCGTTTCAGAAATTAATTTAAAAAAAAAAGTAGCGCGCATAAATTTTTCCTATGCACGGAAACGCGGAAATGGCGACCACTTCCGCATTGACGAAAATTGCAAAGGAGAAACCGAATGAGCAGCTACGACCTTGCGAGACGTCATTTTTTATCAAAGCTTTTCTCTACTTCCCGAAAAATATACCAGCGACATCCGGTTGCGCGAGTACGCGATCGTGCCGTACGATGAAAAATATTACTGGGCACTGCCGAAACTTCCGGTGCAATTTATCCAAATTTATACCCTGGCACGACGTTTAAGCTGGTTGAAAATCAGAAGCGAGAAAAGTAAAATTAATTGACCCTTTTTCCGTTTCAGCAGTACCTCGTTTCGTCCAAAATAAATATATCGTAGCACAAGAAATTGTATTCACATCATGGCAGAGACTGAGAACGAGAATAGGAAAAAATATTTTAAACTAACCTCAAAATAAACACGTAGGCAAAGTAGTGTATCTGCTGTGGCAGACGCAGCAGACAGAAAATAATAAAACAAGTGATGGAAGTCAGAGTAATATCTTTGTCTTGAATTCTCAGCGTTTTTAATTTCCTTCCTTTTTAATTCACTAGCCGAGAAATGTTTCCCGTAGGCACACGGGAAGTTTCACAATTAATACCTTCCTGCGATCAGGCCCCTATTTCTGTTGGTACGTATTCCGAGTATATTCACGAATAGATACGCGTGACTGCACACAGAACGTATACAGTACGATATCACGACTTACTTACTCCTAAATTATTTTTCGCTTTTATCCAAAATTCGTCTTGACGTCTTGACGATTCGACGAAGTCGTTTGAATAAATACAGACGACAGTAGCTGTACGCGCTACGCCATTGTGTCTAGCAAATAAGATTTATCGCTCCGTTAAATTTGCCGCAGCGGCCTGCGGCAACTTCACGTTGTACTTTTATGGCGTCTATTCAACCACCTTAATATTCCCGTCTACGACGTAAATATAGACTCTTCTGCTTCGCCATGCCACGCGTTAACCTTATTTTCGTACAACCTTTTTCCCAGGGTATACCTGTAACTATATATCGTCTTCTATCAGCTTGTACGTTCAGGTACGTAAAAGATATATGGAAATACAAAATCATTGCGCGTCATTGTACAATTGCCCGACAGTGAAGTACCTGCAAAGGCATGTTCACATGCGTCAGATACCTACCTATGTTATTTCGACAAAGTATGACTTCTTTTAAGTCTAGGGAATTAGGTTTGTGTAGTAGAGTCGTTTTCACTTTTGTTCCTCCTTAAGCTCGACAGCTGCATCCGTGAGGAATAGTTTAGAAAAAATTCTTGCGTTTTTTATTGTACAATTTTGATATTGCATGATGTCTTACGTGACGAAGTTTAAATATATATTGTTCGTATGAATCATTGTTTTACTTCATTTATCAGTAGTATAATTTCTCTCTCTAGTTCAATCTCTCTTATCATTTGCCATTCTGACGATACGACGACATCTTGACGTTGCGCAACCAGACCATTTTGCGGGGTGTAAAACTTTTCAGGTTGGGTATTTATTTATTTGCCGAAAGAGCAGTTCACACGACGCTCTTATTTCACGGAACTAATTCGGGGCTTCACACTGTCGTCCGTAGTCGACTAAGCCGTAAAGCTGCGTAGACCAAATAGACAAGATTTATAGCAGTGGCTTCGGGGGAAACTACGCGGAGTCAAGCTTTAGTTGTGATTGTTTAAAAGGGATATCTTTTAAAAGGAATTACAGAAAAAAGTAAAGGACAATTTGTAAATTTCAAATAAACGAATTTTGTACAATTAATTGACTTTATTTCGTGACCTTATAAATCAATTGTCTGGGTGGGTAATATTATGCAGCGATATTCTTTATTGCTGAACCTTATTTGCTTTATTAGTTCTTTTCCATCTACTTTTCTATCCTTAATGTGCCGATGGAGCTCAGAGTCAATCCCTGGCATTTTAACCCGACGCCAGCATAGTTTCTAGCCGACCCATTTTTGAGGTTAGTTTTACCGGGGAATGAATTTCCTCGGCGTTCGCGCAGAACGTTGTTTCCCGAGAGGGAGTCGAAGCCCCGGGCAGATCTATTCGTCGTGTCCTCGTTTTCCCTCGTTTGTAAAAAAAAGCATTAAAAAAGAGAAAACAATAAAAAAAATGCTATCTGATATCAGAGGGTAAAATTTGTGCAATTCTGACTCTTTTTGGCGTATTCTTTTCAAAGTTCCTATAGTCTTTTTCACGTTTTTCAATCCCTCTTACAATTCTTAGAGGGAGACTGATAGTTTCACATCTAATAAGTGTCGACTTTGCCTAATAATTTTGAAAATACTCAAATGTATTACAGTACCGTAAAATTATTATATTGCAAGCTGCTTAACGATCTATTTAAAATCTTCTACTGTCCTTGAAAAAAAATTTGTTGAAATACATAATAGCAAGGTATATCATAAAATTCTTATCCTGGACCACCAATCTTTCAGAATACGCTCCGCCCAAATCAGTTTTTTAATAATTGATAAAAAAACGTCTTTTTACATTTAATCGATACTCTTTTTCGAAATCATCAATGAAACATCAATTAAAAAATCATTGTCTTGCTTCCAGGTATGATAACGCTCGAGAACGGACAACCAAAGCTTGCAGATCCGGTGAAGGAATGGAAAATCATCATAACTCACTATGGAGGACTGGCAGGACTTGCGTTGGCAGGATTACTCCTGGCAGCGATATTACCCTGCGTGGGATTGTTCTTCTGCTGCTGTAGATGCGCAGGACACTGCGGCGCCAGGAGTCAGCCCTTCGACAAGAAGCACGATCACTGTAGAAAAATAATGCTCAGCGTAGTACTGATAGGCGTCGCAACAATCATACTGTAACTATTTCCATAATTCTAATGTCATTCCCAAGTGAAATTTAATAATTCACCGAAAGAACGTATACGTCGTTACTTTAGCCTGTTGTCTCATTGTTGTTTTCTTCTTTCTCCTTGCAGCTTTGGGGTTGTCTGCGCCTTTGTCACTAATGAATACATGCAGGACGGCACGGAAAATCTGTCAGATAACGTTGAGATCAGCTTGAAGGACGTGAATCTGTATCTAACCACCACCAAGAGAGAATTGGACTCGCTGTTAATCAACAATTTCAACGAGCTCGAGATTACCCTGAACAATATTCTACAATCTAGTGGGAAGATCGTAGCCGAGCAGTTAGCCAAGTATTCGCATGCTGTGTCACTCACGCATCTCAATGACCTGGTGGAGCATCTTCAAGACATTTGTCTCGACCTCAAGACAATGAATAACATCACCCAGGAACTGAGGACCAACGCTACTCAATTGGATATTGGTACTTGGTTATGATTTCTCAGATAAATCTGCCACGTGTGAAACAATTGTTTAATGAATCTTATATATATTTTATTTTAGACGTTCGAAGTGTCAAGAAGGATTTGCTTTACACGTTGTCTGCCTGCTCGACCCATTATTGTAAGCAGGTCTTGCAGGAGTACAAGGTCAATCATATGTCGGTTGAGGTGGACTTTGATAAGGTGGGTCTTGACTGTTGATTAATTATCATGGTTTATCGGTAGTTTGCACAAAATGAAATTCTAACCAGAACAATAATCATCTTGTAATTTTATATGCAGTACATGGATCGTTACTTCCCAAAGGTATGAGAATCATTAAGGATCTATGCAACGTCTTTTGATAGTGTCTATTGCTAGTAATTAATTTTATAATGACGGTCTTACATGGGTCGTGTATATTACAATGGTTCTCTTAGGTACTTGTACATGTAATCAATCTGTAGATCGTTGACAGAACTGTTCTTGATACAATTTGAACTGTTTTTGAGCGGTTTTTATTTTTATTTTTCTCTTGGAGCTTTCTTCGAGTCCAGATCAGTCCAGATCGTTTTCCTTGCAGACGCACGAGTTTTCAGTAAGAATCTAGTAGTGCGCTTGAGTTCCATTCACTCTATATATCCTTTTTTCTCGCGAATTCTGGATCAATTATTTAGATCGTGAGCTACACGTAAGATAGATTCATATATTATGATAATAATGTATTCAAGGTGAGAATTATCCGACGTGCATGAATTAATTTTTTTTTGTTTTGGTAATTTAGAAAATCGCGTCACTGAGAAAAACGATGTTTTATGAATTACTGTATGAAATTGTTTGATTCCATGCTTTGCCAAATAAAGCTTCAGGCCGTAAGTCGTAATCAAAAGCATGCGATATCTCTATTGTAATTCATATTTCTTCTCGATTCTTATTTTACTTATTTTCATGTGTATGACATCCTGTAGACGGCATCGTAGACATTTTAAAAGTCCTTTTCGTTCTTCATCCACTCGACTTCCTTTTCTTTGTTTTTCTTTATCGTTTATTTGTGTTTTCCTTTTACTCCAAGTCAATCAGTATAGTTAGCTTGGCCATACGTACGTAATACAGCCAACTGTATGTATTTAAATTACTTGTATAGTAATTAGCAATGTGACACTTTGAAACAGTGATATTCTATTTTTAATAGATAGTTATGGTCAAGCTATGTCATACGATAGAATTTTTCAGAATCATTCACAATTTATTATTGTCTGGCATCGCCTCCTGATTGTAAAGGGATGTCCTCTTGTTCCTGAAGGATTTCTAGATTTGTTCTGGATTGCCCTGATGCCAGGAACAGGAGACTTTTCGTTCATCTCATTCTAAGGAAGATCACGTAGAGTCCTATTTCCCTTTTTTTTCCCCCCTTATAATTATTGGAATTATCATTTCAGCTACCGGACGTGACGGTCGCACTGCGCAAGATCACCTCCCTCATGGACAGCAATATCGTCTCTGAGGTCAGTCAGGGTAGAGACTCCTTCCTGAAGATCCAGGAAGACATCCAGCACGCCGTAAATCAAACGATTCCAGTCGTTAGTGCCAGCATCAGAAGAACCGGTGACTCTTTGGCAAAGACTGCCAATAATCTGACCGCAATTCTTGATGGAATTAGTGATAATATTAATAAGATTTATATTCCTCATCTTCGTATGGCTGGGGATCAGATAAAGCAGTACTCACCTTACAGGTTCGTTTTACCAATTTTTTCTATTTTGATAAAATTTCCTAAACGGATGTTCTAATTCACCGGAAGTCTCAACCACCATGTATCATATTCTTTTCCAGATATTACTTAGGCCTCGGAATTTCCAGCATCCTGCTTACAGTCCTAATGTGCTTAACGTTCGGTCTCCTTTGTGGTATTTGTGGTAAGCGGCCGGATGGCTACGGGGATGACTGTTGCAACAAAGGATCTGGTGCTCGATTTCTTATGATGTGAGTCAATCTCACAAATATAGAAGCGCAGTAGTGATTTTCAATAGATCTATATAAATAATATTATTCTTTCAATCGAAGGGCCGTCTGGATCATCTTTCTCTTAACAAGTATTTTAATGATCGTGACTGTGGCTCACATGATGACAGGCGTCGTCGTTCAGCGAGGCATATGCGAGCCACTGAAGAATCCCAATGATAACAGAATGTTCCAGCTGGTCGATGATTTCGTAGAGATCAAGGATAAGCTGTACCCAAAGATCCCTGAAGCGGAAATCAATATGAGCTATATCGTGACGTAAGTAATCCCATCAGACATAACTCGACTGTAAATAAAAACTAAAAAAAGTCATTTTTCGTCATATGGTGTAATTCATTTTCAGGATGTGCCATGCAAACGAGACACTGTACAAGGTTCTTAGACTAGACTATCTCATTAACCTGGACAATTTGCATGTCGGACGTTACGACATGATGGAAACGATTCAGCACTTGCAGCACAAGATAAATCTTTCACCAGGAGTCGTAATCCTGAGCAGCAGCGCAATATCGAAACTTAAAGACTTGGCCGAGAGCGGTCTGAGCGATATTAAGTTTTACCAATACGCGGAACACCTTCAGAACAACATCACCAACATCAATCTGAGACTATTGGCTAATAAGCTGATGGAAGTCTCCGCCAAGGTTCCTGCAAGCCAGGCAAATATTCGCGACAGTCTGATCAAGAATGCCGCAGACCTAGAGCGCATCCACAAGGAATTGGTCGTGCCCATGACCACACTTAGTGGCAAGCTGATCGATATAGCCCTGGTGCTGGAGGAACACATTAAGTTCAATCACAGTTCCATGGCCACGGCCATTGACGTACTAGTTGATGAAGTCATCAGAGCTCAGTCATTCCTCAATGTCGATGGACCGAAATACGTGCAATTGGTAAAATAATTTTTTTCTACAACTCACGAGCACATTTTTCTTCTATTTTTTCTCCGATTTTTTTCATGAGTAATTTTTTTTAGCTGGCCACCAGGTTCGGTCAGATCTTCCTGCAGCAGGTTGAGAACTTCCTGGACCTCCTGACTGCCAATGCTATTAAGAGCGTGGGAAAGTGCGCTCCGGTATCAAACGCCTACAACGCCACGCTCGTTGCTGGTTGCAACAGAATTCTGGATCCATTTGTAAGTTTGTCATTTCCTTAATGCATCTCTTGAATTTATTCATCAGCCAGAGGAACATTAGGTAACTCAAAAATTTGTTTTTCGTACAGAACGGTTTTTGGGCGAGCGTCGGCTGGTGTTTGGTCCTATTCATACCGACTATAATACTCTGTGTTAAACTCAGTGCACTGTATCAAAAATCAGATCCTTACCCGGGGCCTCTAGTCGAAGCGTAAGTATTCTTTATATTTAAAATATCCTTTTAGCATTATCGACTCTGTATCCTTGTAGTGCGTGAGTTTAATTTTATTGGCGCAATTGAAGATACTAACCGACTTTCTTTTGCCCGTGCAAAGTCAATCTGCACAAGATTTACGATTAAACATGGATATTTCTATAGATCAGATGATGCCAAATGTGAAAAGCACAATCTGCTCAGTGATTATTTTTTTATCGAACTTCAATCTTACATCCGTACCTTCGTCATTCATATATATATTCTTACAAGTCAATTTGTTTCCAAACTTCATATAAATTACGTTCTCTTTATTTACAATTAAATTCCAAAATCAATTGCAATCGATCTTATCGATCGATATTACAAAGTCAATCTTCATGTTCATGCTCCTAGTTGATATCAATATATTCGCATAAACGTAGCATGATCTAAAATGAGCTTCTTAACGTTTTACCTGTATTTTTTAGCACGAACTTCTTCAGTTTTCTTAGCAATCTCGATGTTGCAACTATTTTTCAATATTTGACTCCAATCAGTCCTTCCTCTCAACCCATATTGCCATCTACGTTATCCTATCATATATTTTCTACAATCATACAAAACTGTAAAATCTCACTCAAAAGTCGCCTCATATTATTTATTCGTTATTTCAGTAATTATCGGTAGCATATTATTGTGCCGATATATGTTCTTTTTAAAAGTAGTCTTCTAATGTGTGGAATGGTTGTTAGAATCTAACCGCTAACACGCTCCGTTCCAGTGAATATTTGTATGACGCGTATGCCGACAGGGATAACATACCCCTTGCTCAGTAAGTATACCACAAAGACAAGAGAAGCAAAAAAAATTAGCATGGAATTTTGAGACAAGCATGGTTATTTTTTTATACTTTAATCCTATGAATTTTCTTTTTTTTCGTTCGATCGTCATAGTTGGTATTTAAATTTGATGTTATTATATTACTTCAAACCTGCAATAGGACATAACTAAGTTTATGATTTGCGAATGTCTTGTCAGGCCTTTTTCTCGTAGTTTCCGGTTCGTACTTCCATTATTCTTTTGTTTCTTAACAATCTGCATGTCACACGAGCGCACGAGGCAGGACATTTTTCTAGTCTGTTTTAGTCGATTTTTGTTATATAGCTTTTCTTTGTAGCATTAATATTACACGATAATTAGATCAGATAGAAATATTAAAGACCGATAAGATTATAGGAATTGCAATGTTCTTTTTTCCCTAAAAGGTAGTTCACTGTAATTTTGAAATTATCTTAAATGCAAATCGAAATGATCCTGCGATTTAGAATATTTTTAAAATTTTGACATAAGCACTGTTATACCTTACATAATCGTCATTATGTTTAACTCGCATGAGAATATTAATTATTTCTAAAAATTTAAGTAAAATTACAAGATCGTTCTATCCAGTTTCTCTCTATTTTCAGTGTTCACGATAAGAAAAGCGTCGCATACAGCAGACACCATCCCAGTGCATACGTAGAGAGTTACGATGGACCAGCGAGTGGCTGTGCAGAACGAGAAAGAATTTCCGAAGCACATCAAGGCACATCTGATCACGAATCAAGATACGCCGATCTTGCACCCAAGTGAGTATACATATTTTCTAATCGATCCAAAGTGGCGATTGGAAAATTGAATTTGATTTTAAACGACAATTTTGCCGCCTCTCTCTCTTACAGTCCTTAAAACTACCTTCCACCTTTACACATTTATTTACAAGCGAGCACATCCAAACGGAGCATTGTACACAATATTTATACCATAGGGATAAAACGAGCACCAGTGTCTTGATTTAATCATGCAAAATTTTCTGACTCGAAGAAGAAAATTCAGTACCGATGATTAAAAGATCATTTAATTTATACTGATATTCTCCTTCGAATGTCAGATTTTACTTTTTATGTTTCATCAATTTTTATTTGCTTCGCAGCATTATTCATCTTACAATCCCATTGACCCAGCTACCAAATGCCAATTATCAAAATCCTTCTTACTGTTATCAAAAGGAGTAAAGCTTGACTCGCTCGACGTGGAAACGTATTCGTGTAATTGGTCATCAAGAATTTATTCATTGACTTCAGCAACCTGTGTCTTCGAAATCTGCTGACTGGTTCCTTCGCGAATTTACTTCTTGGTGCTGGTTGCTGCTGTTGCTTAGTTCTACTTGGTTCAACTTGATTCTTCTTACTTATTATTCGACTCTCCTACTTCGTTTATTATTCTTTTATTAATTTAACAGGGTTCCCACTCACAGGCATTCTTGATATTGTTTAACACTGAGCTTGTTCCTTGTTCATGATTTCGTACTACCGTCATTGCTTTCGCTGGTCACCATTTTTTCTCCCGGTTATTTCCAGGTGAGTGGGAACCTTTCCGTGGGTGGGGGGCATCCTCTCGCGACTCTCAGTACGCCTTCGCACGTAAGTCGTAATGGCTTCTCTATTTTAAACAGTACATCATCACCTTTACTCTCTGTATATCTCTGTGTGTATTCTGGTATTACGTGTTATCCGTATCTCGTCACAAAACATCCACTACGTATAATTTTCGCATCTTAATGTAAAAAAAAGCAAATTACATTGGTCTTTAACGGCTCTTTTGTCGATACACATGTTGCATATATATGAGTACGTCAATTTTTCAAATTCAAATCTTTCCCGCCCGGTCGAAGGAGTCAAGCCTTACCCACGTCAGTCGTAGATCAAGGTAAGCGCGAACGAAGCTGGAGAAAGTTTTGATTTTGTTTTTTCAGAAACTGGGATTTCGCAAATCTCGGACCACCCAGGTATCAACCACCCACAGTCTCTCCATTGAGCACGGAATACGAACGACCTCCTCCGTATTATTATCCTGGGCCCGGGTAAGTCCCATGAGTATTTTTTTTAAGGACCTTAGGCCCCATATTTTTAACAAGCCATGTGGTCATTTTTGTTTATCCTTTATCGTTTCAGGGACAGGAATTAGGAATCATGTACCGTGGCATGCACGAAAGCGGCTCTGAGCAGCGCCGCGACGCACAGCCTCACGCGCAGTTATAAGAGGACGCTGAGGAAAAATAACAGACCTGGAGGGAAACGGGATTACGTATAAATGCGTTGACGAGTGTTCCCAGGCGTGCCACGGACAATTGTGAACACCATGAATAACTAGAGACCAAGCTAAATATAGACTGTGCTATAGGAGTGTGACGTATTCGTCAGCGACGTGTTTCCTCGTCCAAGCAGGAGAAGAGCGCATTATTTTATTTAGTATTTAAATCGACGAGGATCATGAACCGTCGCGATCGATCACGCCGACGGGGAAGCCATCGCCGAGGGATTGGGGTGTGATTTTAAGGATTAAGAATCTACGAGGGACAAACCATCTTTCGCATTTTAACGAAAGACAGACGAACGGCGTTCGCGTTCACGGGCGCCATTGTTTATCGAAGATTCTTGTTTTGTCACTTGATGTTAATCATTTTTTCCGGATCGATCAGCAATTACAATTGTCTTGGCTAAGGTCCTATGTCTTTTTCTACGTTCATCTACGCCATTTTATTGTTTGCTTTCGTGTTCACGTTGTACAGTTTTTCCGGAAGGCAGCGTCTCTGTCTTCGTTTTTTCGTACGACGAGTGCACTTCTTTCTTTTTTTTTTTTTTGGGAGGTGCAAACTTTCAGTTTACCTTGTCGACGAAAATTACGAGGATTATCCTCTGCGCGAACTATGCTCGGTGTTTTTTGAGTACTTTGAGCGCATGAGATTTCTCCTCTGACTTCCGGTTCTTCCTTACATCGTCGTTGGCATTTAGTTCCTAGTTTATAAATGAAACTGCAATTTACGTCTCTATACGAAGGACCAGTATTATTCAATTTCATTTCATCTGCCTTTTTTTTTTGTTCTTTGATATTGAACAGCAGCATGACGAATCATCCGAAAATTCGAGTAATCGCTCTGCTCGCATTTAGATTAGCACTTTTTTGAAAGAATTTTGTATATCGTCAATTCGAATGGCTCGTAAAAGTATTTTTGAAAAGATCAATCCTCGAACTATCCAGAGCTATAAATTTGATCTGCTAATTAAAGCAATCACGTACATTACCGACAAGCGTATTTGCGAAAGTGCGTGATGCGACAATTATTTCTTTTTTTATTATCTACAAATCACTTTACTTTCGGCCATGCGTGCTCATGCATTTGTTATAAAAAAAGAAACGAGCCCTCATAACGAAAGAACGTTGATTTGTCGTGTCATGAGAATTCAAAGAATAAACGCGCCGTGGTATTAACCACCAAAATTACGTGGAACATTTTACAAAACAAAAAAAAACATTGGACAACGCCATATTTAAATGCCAAACAACTTCTTCGCGCGTTTCGTACGAATCGTCAAAGATGGCGTCTCCTTTTTTTTCTGTTCCAACTCTAACGAATCGTACGTATCGTCGCAGCAGCAGAGCCTCGCTCCTCGAAAACTTCGAGAATACAAATTTTATTTCGAATATTCGTATATAGCACTGTTTGTTTGCCCGGCGAATTTTTTTACTCTCATCGTGCGAATCCTTTTGCACGAGGATCTGTTCATTTTTGTACGGTCCTGGATGGACCTTGCCAGTTTTCGATGAACGAGGCTGTATATATAAATACTCTATGTATATGGTTCGCATAAGTAGCCTTTTTATTACTATTACCTTTATCTGTAATTTATCGATGTAAGTTATAAAATATCAAAAAGCCCGTTTTTACATCACGCAGATCGATCCTTTCGTCTATAATAAATTAAGTCAGCTCCACGTGATGTAAAAACGACTCGCTTAGCGGCGATATCAGGCGTCGTCTTCTTATCGCGATTATCTACAGCGATTCTAAAAAGAATACTTTTTATCAAGTTCAGGAAAAAAATTATTCCTGTGAACTTTTACGACTCGTCGGTCTGAACTTCCGGTTTGACGAAAAGGAATCGCTGTGTTTATAGCGACGAAGACGCGGAGGAACGGTTATCGAGGAATCGATCAGTGCCGTTCGAAATGATCTGGCAATTTCTCTCGTAGTGTGTACAGAATTTTTGAAATGACAAACGAACAAAGAAATAATATTACAAATAAATGACGTTATACAGTAGAGTTACGCCGCCCATGCTGTCAGCCCAAGGCATTTCTTAGCTCGTCAGCAAATTGCCAAAAATGAATGAGTAAATGAGATGAAAACAAAAAGAAATGAGATAGAAAAGTTATTTGAGGAAGCACATGTTTTTCGCTGTACTGTTCGGACTTGACATTTGTGGATTGTATTTGTAGCATCTTTTTTTTTTGGACAGAGAGAAGGAGAGACAGAGTGATTTATCTGCATTTGATTGTACGTGAATGACGATGAGTGTAATTTGAGCGAATGTGAGAGAGACACGTGCGTTTGAAAAATTATTAGAGCGAAAGAGAAGGTGCGAATGAGACAGTAAAAACAGAGATGAAAAGAGTGACGGTAATTCTGAAAATTTTCACTATATATTATTATACTGTATTTACACTGTAAGATTCGTAGTTAAACTCGATTTGATTCTAGTGTATTATCGACATTTAAAACGGATATCGTATGTACGTGTACGCGATTGGGGATAAGAGCAGTGTTTTTTAAAACTTAGAGGAAAGAAAGAAAAAAGAATCACAGAGTGTAATCACCAATAGGTGTGAATATGTGGATTCTCTTTTTATGTGTAAAAAAAAGATGTCACTGAGAGACTCACGAGAGTTGATTGACCGTCACGAAGGTAAGAGTTGGCGCCAAATTTGAATTTCACTGGCGGTAAATTAAAAAAAAAGAGAGCCGAGAATCTCGCCAGTAGAAACATTTAAAATGTGAGATAAACTTGTCGTGTGTGGCTATGAGAGATTGCAAGTTTTTTCACTTAAAACACTTTTGGTGCTATTTTTATATACAAAACTGAGAACGGGACGAAGTCGAGATTTTTGGTCTTTTTTTTTTTTAATCATCTCTTATCGATTACTTCTGAACTTCGCGACAAGATACTCCTCGAAACGTGTGTGGTAGACATAAATAAATGAATTAAGGATAAGCAAGAAAGAAATCTTTTCGAAGCTCTCTTTGGCTGTATTGGTAAAAATTAGAAATACTAATTAGGCCGCGAATTAAGTGGCAGTCATTTTTTCCCCTTTCTTGCGTTACCGTGTAAAATACAAGAGAATACTGAAAAGTTGTTATGTCGAATTATACGAAGTTAGATTCTTTTATATGTACGACTCTTCTGTCTGTCTGCTCAATAATTCGGTGATGTGGATACTTGGTGTCCAAACTGTTTTTTTTTTCCCCCGAAATTAGTATACATTATATATCCTAGTAGTCATTCCAGCAGAAGCATTTTTGAAAAACTATGTCACGCCGGCTGCATAGTGTAGCTGATACTCAATTCTTGACGACGCAATCTTTTCATCCGATTATTTACTCATGAGAAGATGAAGATGCGATAATTATGTTTTTTGTTTTTCTTTTTTTTTTTAATACGAACGTTATTATTCTTTAATCTTAAAGCTTCAACCGACTACAGTTTGCCAGAGATGCATCTGCTCCCGAGGATTTATCTATATGAACAATTGCAAATACGAGAGAACGATAGTTTCTGCCATAGACTACGGTGTTTTAAAAATTTCACCTATTGTGTTTGTTAAAATTAATTGATTATTATCATTATAAAAAATGAGTGTATCACAGTTTAAATATATCTATTTTATATTAAACATACAATCACGAGATTCACCGTGGTTTATTTCGATTATAAATCTGTCATTTCAAAAGTTGACAAATTTATTTATCTCTGTTAAAAAAAGGAAACTACACACTTTACCAAGTCGCGTCAAAGTTTTTGTACTAAATACTCATTTAATTGTCAATTGACATTGAAATCAGCTCGATGACTAAATCTGCTCAGCATTGGACGGAATAGATTGAATGGTAGAAAAATATTCTTATTAGAGTTTCTAACAACTCACTCTATTGTCCTTGCCCCATTTACGCATAACACGTATAATTTGCTCGACCTGCGAGTTCGTCGTGTTTCGCAGTAGCTGAATTATTTCTGTTAGCAGTTCCCTGAAAAAGCATTTGAGGCATGAACAAATATTTTTACTTTTTGACATACGTATATAAAAACTTTATAATCAAAGACTTTTCTCACTTTGGCTGCTTCTCTGCCACTATGTACTGAAAAGTACCACAACAGGCACCACGTTTTCCTTCCCAGTGCTCTGGACTAGGATCCATCCTTTCGAGCATGTCAAAAGCTTTGGCAGCATACCAAAATTCACCAACCTTATAACAAGTATTGGCAATTAGTTGTAGCAGACTAAAAGATTCTGTAGAAGTATCCATCTTGAGATACAATTCCCAAGCTAGCTGAGGCTTCTTGTTTATGATATCTGTAATTAGTACTTGGCTTATTTAACAGTTATCGATAGTCAAAGTATCTATTGAAAATTAGTATTGTTTAACGTACAGCAATATGCCAATAGACTGATGTAGATGTAATCATTTCTGTGACGTTCGTTTCTCATAATTAGAAATGCTTCTTCAGCTTCTTTAAAGTAACCAGCTGCTGTTTGTGCCTGGGCGTAATTGAAGTTGAAGCTGTCGTCGTTTGAGAAGTAAGTTTTTATCGAGTTCAAGTAAACGAGGACTTCTTCAAATTGACGGTACAAAAAGAAACAAGACGCCATACACTGTCTCCCCGGTATGGTGTCGCATTCTGATGCAGAAGAGCCGACCAATTGAAAGTATTGTTGGGCCGTCTTTACGTGCTCACGCTAAAAATACATTGAACAATTTTATATTATTATTAAGAATATTTGCTTTCTTTTAGTCTAGAATACTTACAGAGCCTGTTTCCTGACCCATCACAGCATTCACAACACCCTTTAAAATATATTCTTGAGGAACAGCTGGCTCCAGATCTTTGATTAAATCATAAGCTTCGTGGATTTCATTCTGTTTCAAATAATAAATAACTAAATTTAGCCTTGCTTCCGGTATAACGTCCACCAAATTTGGTAAAACCTGCAGAGCGCCTTCGCCACCTCGGAATACCTGTTTGTTGAAAATCAAAGTATTAAATAAATTTTTTAACTTGAAGATAAATATTTTTGCAAGCTCATACTCACTACAATATTGTGTCTGATCAAATCGTGACCGAAATTGAAGGAGCTCGATATTTGCTCAACAAGCTGCTTCATTTCTGCCTGTGCCGCATTTCCGTTATACAAACGGAAGTGGTTACAAGCCTTCAAATTGATAGCGATAGCACTGTCAGGATATTTCTGCAGGTAAACTTGCAGAACTTCTTGCGCCACGTCGTAATAATCCAGTTTATAATAGCAAAGAGCAACGTATACGTTTAATGCCAGATAATCCCTGAGGAGATGATAAAATCAATTAATCCCTTATCAAGCAAATTTCTCAGCTAAGTTTACAGAAAAAAGATTGGGATAAATGGAATCAGGGTGGGTAGATACCTGGACTTTTTTAATTCAGTAATAAAGTATACTTCGGAATTGATTTCGGTAGTGGAAGACTTGTCATACCTTGATTGACTGGTTCTACTGTATATGCATAATATGTGTATAATTTTTAATGAAATAACTTATATAAACGTGCAAAAAAAGTTAACTGAAGTAAAATAAATACACTACGTTACTCTCCCAGAGATTTTCTCTCTTGCTCACCTATTCTCAAGCAAAACCCTTTTGTATATATCAATGGCTTCCTGATAATGAGCTCTAAGGTAATGAATGGAAGCCAGACTCAGTTGATCCTCTATTACATCCTCAAGCATCTGATGAAACTCCATAAGCTTCGTCTCATCGCTCATTTTATGAGAGAGATGAAACAACAGTCTCGTTTTCAAACGACTATCAGCTGCCTGTGCCAGGAGACTATGAGCTTCTGGATACATTCCCAAGAAAAAGTAACAGCAAGCTAAATTAACGGGAATATCTTCCGATCCATTTCCTTTCTTCTTTAGGTCCTCGTAGACCGTCGCTGCCCTTTTGTAGTCACCCAGGTGAAAGGCGCAATAGCCAATCCAATAATCAATTTCTATACTTGTACCAGTAGTACCATTGAATTCCAAGAGCGTCAAGGCGCCCGTGTAATCCCTTTTCTCAAGAAATTCTTCTAGGTTGGGTATATCCTTCCTTGAGATAGATTTCTTTGCTGCGTCCGAAGAAGCGGGTTTCGCTCTGGATAGAATCTGAGAAATAATATGAAGGAATGCAAGTCGATTAATGACATTTTGAAACGCTGATGCTTCGTTATATAAATATGAGTCGAGAAGAAGAGAATCTACAACGAAGCTGATTGGTCCAAAAGCATGACAGCGGGAGAACAAACTAGGTTCTGATTTTGTCGAAGTAATAAGTTAATTTTACCATTTTTTCATCGCTGGCGACTAACCACACACTTTATCGATCCGTAACGCGTCCTGGGAAACGTAAAGAGGGTCTGATAAACAGCGCTGGCATCGCGCATAGGAATAAATAGTTGTCCAGTTAAAGAATTCGATCGAAACTGAATTTCAAAGTCAGATTGTCTCGCGCGGCCATGATGGAGCCACTATCGTCCAATTGATTCAAACTGTTAGAGATGGCTGCAAAACCGCCAGTATCTTCTGGCTGTCAGTACTCTGAGGAACAGTTGAAACAAGATCGCGGTTGAAACTTCCTCGAAATCGCGCGCTGCCGCGCGTTACTGCCGCCATATTAGATTTTAGTACTGCGCGTTAGACATGAAGGCAGTGCAAAGCGTGTGCAAAACCGTGGAATACGTGTCCTTAACATAGGAGTGTCCAATCCCTGATATAAAACCAGATGGTCGTAGTCAATCGTAGTATTTCGCGATGCTGGACGGTGTGAAGCACGTTATACTTGTGCTCTCGGGCAAAGGCGGCGTGGGAAAATCAACTGTCAGCACTCAATTAGCTTTGACGTTAAAGGAGTCTGGCTTTAAAGTACGTCCTCCGTCTAGAGCGCGTGAAGTTACGTCTGCTAAACGTCAAAATCTTCCAGGTCGGACTGCTTGACGTCGATCTTTGCGGGCCAAGCGTTCCCTACTTGTTGAATTTGGAAGACAAAGATGTCCACCAGTCTTCTGAAGGGTACGTTGTCTATTTTACGTAAATCATTTACTATTATTTTAATTTCGCCTTTGTCACGATTGTGTGGCCTTTGTATTAGGAACTGTGATCGCCAAAAATGTTTTTATTGCAGCTGGGTACCGGTCTTTGCCGATTCCGAACAGAGATTGTCTGTTATGTCCATTGGTTTTCTTTTAAAAAACCGAAATGACGGTGTAGTATGGCGGGGTCCGAAGAAGACTGGCATGATCAAACAATTCCTGAATGATGTTGTTTGGCAGGACATTGATTATCTTATTATTGATACACCACCTGGTACCTCTGACGAACATATTACTGTTATGGAGAATCTACGGTATATATCAATTATAAGATTATGATATTTGTATATTAACAGAATATGAAAATATTTTGGACTGGTCGAACATGACTTTCTTCTGTATTAGATGTTCCTTTTTTAACAATAGATGTAGTAGTTAATTGTGTTATTAACTTCTGATTTAATGTATTTAATAGTTGGTCTGGTCATTATAAATAGGCTTGTATAATTGCCAGTATAAATGGTTGTCTTGTGTATATGTTATATACAGTGATGTGATAATGTTTGTTTAATCAATTTAGTTATCAGTGTATAGTTAGTTTGCACAATGAGTAGGGCAGTCACACGTCTATTGATAGTAGTCACATGTGGTGACTACCAATCATATGACTGTTGTTAAAAATAATTATAATTTTGATAAGTACTGGTCATGAGACTGATAAGCTGTTTCGTCATCAAGTTCTTCAGTGTTTGTCATGTACCCAGAACTATTAACATGCATATTCTAAGTATACATGACAACACCTAATCCTTATTTAACTATCTGATAATTAAACTTACATCACTTGTTCTAGCTAAATTTCATTTAAGAAATAGTCATTAATTATTATTGTTATACTGTCACGAGTAACCTGCTTCTTTGATTATATTTCAGTAACGTCAAGTGTGATGGTGCAATAATTGTAACAACACCTCAGGCAGTGGCTGTTGATGATGTTCTTCGAGAAGTAACGTTTTGCCGAAAAACAGGAATTCCAATAATCGGCATTGTCGAGAACATGAGTGGATTTGTCTGTCCATCATGCACTGTAAGTACTAATTGCAATTTGTAATTTGTAAAAGAAACTCTGGGTCTTGAATTTTGTATATTAAATTTTGGAGTAAACAATTCGAAAATATTCATACGCACTTATGTTCTAACGTATTAGGGTTTGGTAACGTTCTTGGCTCTCAAAATTGATTGCAAAATGATGTCAAGGACACTTAATATTAAATTTCTCAAGTGATAATACATTAATGCTAAGCCTACATCCAGTTGTATTGATCCTATGGCATACTATAGAGTTATTGACAATGTCACCATTGTCCCTTTTATAATTTCTAACAATAGTTTCAATACATCATAATTATAAATTCATATAACATTTGTTGGAAAATACTAAAGTCATAATATCATAGAATGGTTGTAACTCAAATAATTATTAATAATAACAAAAGAAGAATTATCATCATATTACATAATCCTCAGGATTTTTAAATTGGGAAAATTGGGGAAAACTTCAATTATTGTATTAATTATACTTCGATGCGTGCAAAAATTCTCTTAAGAGTCAGATATATTGGCTTTCAGGAATGCACAAACATATTCTCATCGGGTGGTGGAATAGCTCTGTCGGAGATGGTAAAGGTTCCATTTCTGGCAAAGATACCAATCGATCCAGCTGTAGGAAAATTAGGTGACAAAGGTCAGAGCGTTGTCGCGCTAATTCCAGACAGTCAAGTGGCCCAAGTTTTTCGAAAACTGGTAGAGGAAGTGACTAAGAGCAAGGAAGCATAAGCCCTTTCAAGTCAACGATATGTTTTCGAAAATGATATGGTGAAAGTTTTGGTGATTCGTTTGGGAAACGAGTACGTGAGTGAAAAAAAAACGGTTAATTTTTAATTACAACGGTTGCACAGTAGACGTGTGAAGTTGATTTGTATTTTTACTCAAGAGATATCACGATGTATAGTTTTTCGTAACGCTAGGTTTAACGACGAAGACAAGTTATGTTTTTATATTGCGATGTATAGATATAAACATAAAGTTAATAAATATTTCCCAAAAGTCTGGGCATAAATGATACAGTGAATATCGTACACACGAAAACTCGTATGTTGAATGTGTGACGATACTTTTTATTCTATACACTTAAGACATTCAAATATTCCTTATAGTTTTAACTATGAATTGTCTGTCGCAAGTTTATTATTAATTTTATAAAAAACTGATATTTCACTTCTTTCAATTATCAACGGTACACCAGTGAACAGTGACGATCGACAAGGACTTAAAAACGGCTTAAACAATTATTATTCTAAATTTCTATAATCATAACGATTTAGTGCTCCTGTACTTAATGACAATATGTGTTAATTAACTGTATCGTTGAACGCATCAATTTAAAATTTGTTTTGAAATCTCAAAAAGTGGCCTTCCATGACTAAAAAAAACTTGGACATTTGATTTTAATACAGCAAGCACAAAATACCAAGTGTCAGTGACGTGTACAATAATATTGCACATAACTTTTTTATATAACAATACCATATTAATTTCTATCAGAAAGGTTTCTATCGTACAAATATGCATATGGCCTTACAAATTGGTTTTACTATACATATAAATATATCTAAAATGTTAATGTACCTACTGTTCTATAAAATATAACTAACTTTTCTTTGAACGACAACAAGGGTATGGTCTTGGTCTGTAGGTTGGTGAAAATGGTAAGTATGACGTCCATTTCCATCTGAAATGAAAAAAAAAAATAATATGATTAACTACAATCATATTCTGTGCTCTCTGTGTAATATTAAAAAAGATTTATATAGTCAGACAAATAGCAAGTGGCAAGCACAAAAATGTTTTTCACGTGATTAATAATAATAACGAAATTGAATTATGAATCTCTAAGTTTGAATGATTTATTACTAGGAGTCATTTCCTAAATCTCGATCACGTGTTTCATTCGTTTATCTTAAATTACCTTCTGAGCAAATTCATTCCAATTGGAAAATCGAAAGTGTTCCTTATGTATTCCTTATCAGTATCCTCGTCAACATCTGGCGTATCTACAGTCAACGCCATTTCGTTAGCCCACGCGTCTAAGCCACGCTCCTCTGAAGTACCTGTTATAAATTATAAATAATAATAATATTAGATAAATCTTCTGTTTATACTTGTATCACGTGAAAGTGAGCAATCGAACGTAGTCATGTGCTTCTATGTGTACAGCGTCTCATAGGTGCGCGACAATATGTTCATATGGAAGCTAAGTAGACGTAAATCGTGTAATGCTAATTTCAAAATTAATGTAGCCTGTATTAACGTATCATCAATGAGGACACTTGATTTGTTATCATAAGCATGTATCTCAGTAAAATACTTAATATTTTATTCTGACAGTGCTATAAAAGCATGTATTAAAGACATACCTGGTATAATATTATCTAAAAGGCATCCAACGACTCCGCCAACTAAAATTGTCGTACTTAGCAGTACCGTAATAACGCTATCGGCTATGTCATTTCCGGTATTGATAATATCAGGGTGCTTTATCATCCATTTTGATAGAACCTGTAAATATTGACAGATTACTCTCATCGTTCCGTGTGCATTTGCAAATTAAAAATAGGACAAGCTTTAAAATATTGTAATTACAGATATTTTTGAAATATTTATTATTTGTCAAATTTATAAACCAATTGGCCAACAGCGCTTACCAATGGAAAGAACAGCGAGAATCCCAGTATGTAAAGATTTCTTGCGGAATTCAAATTGACATACTGCAACGCCGAGAGACCTGCATAAATGTTTAATTTTTATAGATTTTCTCTTTATTTAGATTAACTACTGTCTTTTCACAACAATTACTGTCATTGTGCAATTAGCAACCGTGGCATACCAAATGCTGTTATCATTCCAAACATGACGCAAAATATACCACCGACTATGGGTTCAGGAATGATGATGAAAATAGCCCCAAATTTACTGACGATTCCTTGAAGTATCATCAAGACACAGGCCCACTGTATCACCCTTCGACTGCCAACTTTTGTCACGCCTACAAAAATTCTCAAATAATTTAACACATGCATCAGTGAGTATTTGCATACAGAAACTGCATATGACAATGAAACATTATTGCAAATTGTGTATTAATGTACTGTCTTCTATCTCTTACCAATTGTACCAACGTTTTCTCCAAATGTGTTTGTACCATTTCCGCTACCCCAAAGTCCTGCCAGCACAGTGCCAAGACCCTCCATACCAATTCCTCTATTAATTGCATGAAGAGGCGGTGGGGGTGCACCTGCAAATTGGGCATACATATAAATGATACTGTAAATATTTAATTTTTTAATAAAAAACTTTCTCTTAGTTTCAACCAATCAGCCCTTATCTAGCAAGCATATAGGAGCGGCCCAACTTTTCAACTGTTACTGGTCCATTGATATGTGCAAAGGGCCAGTTAGAGCCCATTTTTAGTCCTACATTTGTCACTCTTATATGCTTGCTTGGGTTCTGATGGCATTTTATTGACGCTTACGTACCACACATCCGCGACGTAGTAGGATAATAACTAATGGATTCTACGGTGCACGCGATCACACCTGCCAACATGCCAAGCACTCCGGACAGACTAACGGTTGGGATACCCCACTGACCTGGGTATGGTATTCGAAACCAGGGTGAATCGCTAATTATTTTTAATTTTGTGTCAGCCCTGCCGGGGTGTCCAGGCGGTAGAACATCTGTGGCTGTGAGAATTCCGCAAATCGCCCACATTGCTACTATCGTTAGCAGGACCTGTGCAGAAGGAGGATAATTTTACTTGTGACATCTATGAAACTGTTATGGTGATATTGGAAAAAAAAAAAATTATGAACTTTCCCATGGAATTGAATTATTTTTGTGATATTCAAAGTAGAGAGTAAACTTGACTTACCGGAAACAATTTGAATAAGGAGAACCAAATGATTTGGAAGCCTTCCTGCTTTCTGTATGTGACAACTGGAAATCGTACGTTTACCAAAATTTGCGAGTAGAGCGTCAACATCAGTATGGTTCTAAAAATAGAAAAAATTTATAATTTCGCATGATCTAAGCAGTCGATTTTTTAACGAGTATATAGCGAGTCTTGTCTTATTGGTAAAAAGGTAAGGATAAATAATTGTATGAATAAGTAATAATAGATCAGTATTGATTTTATTAGGAAAAAAAGGTTGACTCACCCTACTGCAATACCCCAGTGTTTTGAAGCGGCGTCGGCGGCATTTTCAAATAGCGACAAACCCACCAATGAAACCGTCGGTACGATGGTTAAGGGTGTAATAAACTTAAGTAAATATCCGACAATGCCTGCATCAATTATATTCAGATAATTTAATATGAAAATTATATATATACACTTGACACTATATTCAAATGCCATCTACTTATCAAGCAATAGCCAGTCTTTACAGAAACATTACTGCTGCTGTGTATGTATGAATTTTAATATTTCTTCAGAATAAGCAAACAAGCATTTCCAAATTTATTAAAAGAAAGTATGTATGAATTAAATGATATGCAAACCATACTTAAAACATACCTCCGTAACCAATGATTACTTGAAACAATGCGGACACGGCAATAGCACCAGACAACTCGCGCATCCTCACCTGCCATAATTCAGTACGATCATCATACGTCATAGAATTCATGACGTCATCAGAGGGACATTTCCATTGAGGTAAATTCAAAATGGCCAGAGTAGGTACTAAAAAGGATATCGTACCCCCTTGAACCAGTGGAAGTCTAAAAAAGAACAAAGAACATGTAAAATTGCATCAGTGGTACCAAATATGGAGAAACAATTATTCTTCGTGAGAGACAATTAAGTCACGATGTTAGTCATGAGATATTCTTCTGCATAAAATTATAATGTGCATTTTAGTTGAGGAAGTCTATTATTTTGTTTATAATTATAGTCCACTTCGTTAGCAGGCCGCTGGAAGATTTATTATCTATCAGGTGGGGATATGATAACTTATTATGCAAATATTATTTTATTGACTTATTTACTTACCTGCAACCCACGGTTGTTTGTAATAACGTGACAATGCCCGTAACGAGAATCATAGTGGATATAATGTGACTTCTTGCCGGATCATCTTCTGCCATGCAGAGTGCCGGAGTCAGGATGAAAGGAATGGAGACTATAGCTCCGATCATAGTTAAATAATGCTGAAACAATGAACTGCTCTTGTAAAGAATATTGTATTAATTAAAAAATAACAAGCGTGAGAGATTACGTCTATTTTTCTTAACGAACCATTCAATTACTTTATTACAATTATTTACAAAATGATGACGTAAGTCTCCGTGGCGCAATTGGTTAGCGCGTTCGGCTGTTAACCGAAAGGTTGGTGGTTCGAGCCCACCCGGGGACGAACTAAAATTTTTAAAATCAATTTTATTATTTTGATACATTTTTTTTACTGCATTTTTGTTACGGTCTTAGTACACTCGTACAACTTTTGCTTTTTATATTTTAAACTGGGTTTCCATAAGCTTTGTTCGGGCACTTAATTCACATTTATCCGTATGAAATTCAGGTAAACAGTGTGCTAATGAGAGTTACGCAATTTTAATTGCATTAAAAATATTTGCTGCTTGCATTGCATTATTTCATTTCTTATCGGTATCATATTGTATATTTCTTATAATTTCACAGAATTGTTGTTGCGTTATTGAAGTACCGAGTCGCATTAAATAATTATATAGATTATAACGGGTTGTATGATATACAGGGTTATTTACTTTAGACGCACCACCCGAAGTTAGCTCGTCCATTTGTTTTCTACGATAAAACCACCTTCGGGTGATAAATTTAATGTGAATAAACTTATACATATATAATACAAACACCGTTCACATTATTTATCATAAGAATACACTGGAGAAATATTTCTTATTTATAGTAGCAAATTGATTAATTGCTCGAATATTGAATCATCGATAATTAAAATCTTGTATTTGATCAAAAACGAAATATTTTACATATGCATAATTACCTGGAGTGCCATAAACAAACAAAGGTACCATGGTGGTATGTCGTCTATGCCATACGTAATGTCGGTTTTCCTATTTGATTTTTCCTTGCTTTCCTGCAAATTGACAGGAGATTCGTTGCCCGTGACATTCTAAAAAAAAAGGTTGCATTTTATAAATCCTTTATTTTTTTTGTAATAACGAATTCCTGCAATCATGTCTAATGGTTCATGTACTTTTAATTTTTATTAATAGGACGTCAATGCAAAAATTATTTTTAATTCAATTTACTAATTAGCATTATATATGTATATAACAGCGATATTAATTCTTATGCATCCAGTACAATTAGTGTTCAGAATAGCGAAGTACACGAGCCCACGTGGTTCCTGTACAAAAGGACAGTTATGACCCACCTGTGCGAATTATTCTTCGTGTGTTCGTAAACGGGTTAGCCTGGAGCTGTCGCTTCTTTTCGACAGACGTAAATGTGTATAAATTTACGTACAACGTACGTATATCGTATTACGTATAACATACAGTGCTTATCGTTTTATTCGTATCTTATCTTAACGTGCAGTGTAAATAAAGTAACAAATGCAAGAGTATTATATATATATATGTATATCGCGAGCACTGCATAACAACTTAGTCCCATAATCCTGACAGAAGTCCAAAGGAATATTTAAGATCCAATAAAAAAAGCTAAAGAAAAAAGAGCAAAATCTATAATCTGCCACGTGCGTCTTGCAGATTTTATGATCAGATTGGAATGATAATGGTCACGTAATCGAGTGGCTCGAAGGGGAAAAAACTGCAGAAACCGACTTCTTTTTGTAATTTTGCACGGTTGCATTATCACAGGCAGACCTTGAGAAATTCTTCATATATGTACAGTTAAGTCGCTGCACTTTATAGTTATTAGCTGATTTCCTGGTTCATATGTCGATTACGGACGATTGAGACTGTATATGTCGATGCGTCACATTTTCAACGATAAACTGAGAAATTAGCATTTACTATGTCGACTGATAATTTATCAGCCGTTGACAAAGATGCAGTGCAGGTAATCCTTAATGTGAAATCTGCAGCATTGATCATGCGGCTTTAATTCAATTTTCATGTTTCAAAACGGCAGGCGGGTGTTTAATGAGATTGAAAAAAAAATTGCGAAAAAAATTTATGTGACACTGAAAATATATTCGAAGCAATTGATTTTGTTTTGGAAAATCCAAATGATATATGTCCTTGTGCAATTATAGATACATGTTAGCGATCATATGTGAAAATATAACATATATGCATTTTATTAGCGCCATTTATATTTTACTCGTCACTAAGTTTTTCCTTTTTGGATACTTGTCTCAGAATATACTGTACTTATATAATTATAAGTATTTAATATTTTTGACATACCTCATGTACGTGACTCGTGCATGTGTACACGAGTAGGAAATTTTAACGTTGCTGTGTAAATTTTATTTTGTATTTTCTAAGGTACATTTTCACGTGTGTTGACTATCGTTTAGTTCTATTAGTATGTATAGAGTGAATACGGTTATAAGAGAAGGAAAATTCCTTGGGTATAAATTTTATTGAACGTATTTTTATTTTTTATTTTATTCAAGTGAAAACCTGGTGATCTAAAAAAAATTTTATTATACCAATCAAATGGGAGTTCAAGTGCTGAATTTGGGCTGAATCGTTTAATAAGGAAGATCGAAATTAATATTTGAAGCAGTGTGTTGTTTGTTTGAATCAGGAGAATGTAATTATTCGTACAATTATTTATATAGGGTCTATAATTAATAGTGAAAATGACAAAATTTATGTCACTTGAGAAAAACAGGATTTCGGAGAAATAAGGTGACAACTTAGCGTCGACTGAGTAGCAGGCATGTGATGATTTTTGAAAACGATATTTTTCCATGAAAAATAAAATTTCGTGCGGAAACGTATGACAGGATAGGAAGAAAATGTGAAAATTATTGTAATGCGTAAAAAATTGATTAGAAATTACAAAAATAATTATACATAAGAGTTTCGAATTTTAAATTAAGAATTAATATATTCCTTAAGAAATACTCACCACATCCGTCAGCTGTATATCGTTCTCCATGATTTTTCGAAACGTAAGAAAACACGAGACTGTCGAAAATCAAGAACAAGTCACTGAAACAGATCTGGTACTCCAGGTAGAGTATTTTTGCATTTCATAAATCACGATCACGAAAGTTTACGATTTTATGGGTGAGAAGCATTATTATTACACTGAACAGAAAGAATCAAATGAGCGTCGTAACGGTTTGTCTGAGTGCTCCTTGTTAATCGACCGTCGGTGGTCAACTAGGCAACTAGGATAATTGAAAAGATCCCGCAGTAATATATAACGTTAAGTAGATACAGTAGTTGAAGCCAATTCCCTCTTGTTTGGTTCTTGCTTCGTTTCAGTTCCTCGAGCTCTGCTGTGCCCGTGACAAGAGTAAATATTTGATTCCAGCCATTTTGAAACTTTTAGAAGAACTTGTGACCGCGGTACAAAGTGCATCAGGACTACATTCATTAATTCAAAACACAGGTACAAAAGTTGATTCGGGCAAAGAGTCTCGATGGGCCGTGTCCTGTACAGTCACACACATGACTTAATCTGATTCTTCGAAAAAGTTCAAATAGGAAAATTCAGTGGTTCTAGAATCCAAGGTAGGTGTAACTGTCAGATTTCATAACCCCAAATGTGACTATTAGGGATGTCAAAATTTAATTTTATTCCTTATTATCATGTCGTTTCGTTCGTGACTGAATTACCTTTTGTTCATTCTAGTTCTGAGGACTGTTGGACAGTCCCTTGGCAACAAAAGCAACTTCTATGTTGTTTCGAACGTTAGATATACATATACAATACTAATACTTACAGTACAGTAATTGGCATTGAGATGTGGATAAGTATTTTGATTTGGACGACACGTGCATGTTACACTGTTTAAAATTGGCTGTACATATTTATATACAGTGGACAAATATATTATGAGTGCCTTATCCATACTGCGCCATTGGCAATAAGACAAATTAATTTTCATTGTAATTTGTAAAAGGTGACAGTTGTTTTTACTTTAAACGATTTTTCCTTTGATTCAAGGCTCTTTGAAAGTACAATATTTCTTAACAGCACAGACCGTAATCGTAACTGAAACCGAAATGGTAAATGATAATAACCGGTAAAATAAGGAACCGAAACCGTAACCATTAACCGACATTTTTATAAATGTTATACTTAATATCGTACCGGAAACCTGATATTGCTACAGTGGAAAACCGAAATCGAAACGTTTTTTATTCATAATAGCAGATACGAGTAGGGAGATTGACAGTGGGCTGATTTTCTTGAAACCAATTTCTTGTTGGAGTCGTCGCGCCACCTGAGCGAAGTTCACCTAAGTTCCTCCAGGATCTTCGGAATCCCAAAATGCAAAGACTGGCAGTGGTCGCAGGAGCCGAAAATAGGAGCCTTCGAACCATATCCACGTTTTTGATTGGTCGAGTGTATATATATATATATACTACTGATTCCGCCGGAGGGTGCTGCTAAGAGGATTTTCTACCACAGATGAGTAAGAAGATTTCCAATGAGCCGATTTTCCTCGTCCAAGTTTTACGTCCGTCCTCCGGTGAACGCAGGGACCTCTTACCAGTCGCAAAATCTCTCTTCAAAACCGAAACCGAAATCTATTAAATTCAAACACCGAAAATAAACCGAAATTCAAGCAGTTACCAAATTGAACACTGTAACCGGACCGATATTTCTTTTGGTTGCAGTCCCTGCTTAATAGAGACCGCGACGTACGTTAATGTCGGTAATTTACCAACCGAGCAGTAGAAAACTATAATTTCCAATTTCTCAATGTTACCATCAGTTGTATAATTTCTATTCAGACTTCGTTCAAGATGTTTCCGCTGATGGAGCCACCTGCAAGACGTTGGGTAACAATGAGTCTAGTTCAACGACCAATTTAAAATGCCCTGATTAAATTGCCGTTCATAAAAATGATACTTATCTGCTTTTATCAAGTCGCTGATATGATTGTTCCTTCATGAACGGAAAGACATTAAATTTAAAGAAGACGTAGATATTCAACTGAATAACAACATACATCTTTATCCACCTTATCATTGATAACGGGTTGACAGAGTGAAAAGAGAATATTTATAAAATACATATATTTATTGCGTTATGTTTAAAATACATATATTTACATATTTTACAGTTCGCGATAACGATCAACTCACTTTCCGCATTTACATTGAATATAATTCCAGACTCACAGCAACAACGTATGTATATGTATATCATAATAATTCCTCGTATTTACACGCGCGATATATAAATATTAGCTTATTTACAACAACAAAAAAGACGGAGAAATTATTCCTCGTCAGTTTAGTCTGTATTTTTTTTTCATTTAATAATTTATCCGTTTAATATGTATACCTATGCGTATGTGTCCTGTCTCGATTAGTAGCTATATCTTTATTTAAACACCTAAGAGTTTCTTGAAAGTCCATTTTTTTTTTCCTTGGAGACAAGTAGAGTACTTTTTGGTATATGCGGTATACAGCAACGTACAGCTTTTTTTTTCTTTTCTTTTCATTATGGCTTATAAGTTTACAATACTGCTGTCGTCCCGCGCGAATATATCAAATTTACACATTTGATAATTGAACGTAGAGTATATTAACCAAGTATAATTAAAGTTACGTAAATTGGCGTCGAAAAATTATCAAGATTCGACATTGGCATTGTTATTCAATTAATTTCTCGTTGGGTTGGTCGTAGTACGGTATACTTAGAAAATGTGTAAAATTATGAAAATTACGAAAAACGGCAATGACGATAGGGATCGTTCATGATATTGAAAATCGCGCAGGAGCAAAATAACGTCGTTCCATTCCTCGAGAACATTTTAAGTATTTACGAATAACTAGATTATACATTTTTTTTTGAGTGGATGGAAGAGACAGAAGTTACTTTCATTTGAATTTTTTTTTTGCGCGAATTTACGAAACACGTGGAAGCGTCTTGTGCGTTGAAAAATATTTAATTACAAAAATTAATTTTTAGAACGTGGTTGGGATAAATTAAAATTTTCGGGTTTCCAGAATTTTAATGCAAAAGACGCCGTCACGTGGTGACGCACAGTCTCGTGGCAAAATTGTATGCCCTTATATATATATATATATATTTTTTTTTTCATTTTTTCAAACGCTACTCACGCCCCTACAATTTTTATTATTCTACTGCAGTCTATTTTGGGCTCCAGGATCTTCGGTATCCCAAAACGCAAAGACTGGCAGGAGTCGCAGGAGCCGAAAATTTTAGTTCAAGACGTCACTGCGACGTAAGAAAGAAACTTGACTCTGGCAGTGTTTCTTAAGAAATTGTTCGACTTAACGAAAAACTGCAAATTCCGACGACATAAACAAATGTGACATTTTTTTCTCGAATTTTCTCAAGCGAAAGGCCAATTTTCAGAAGCGCGAAATTCGCTGCGCTCGACACGTGTACAACAATAATATCCGGTCGATTAATTAGACATTCGGGGCAATTTATAAAATTATTTAACAAATCGTCTTTTTTTTTTAATAATGCTTCCGATTACGTATTTTTTCTATGGCGACTGTTTTGCAAAAAATTTTTTTAACTTTCCACTATCCTTATCGATATATACGACTTACGTATAATTCAGATATTTAATTAATGATCCACTGACGTCATCAATAATAATGAAACAAACAATGCAAAAAGTATTACCTATATATAAAAAATCTCTCCTACACTATTAATCATAAGAAACATATAAGTATTTTAAAAAAATGTATCTATATTTTCAGATACTAGGATTTCGAAAAAAAAATTATCGTTATCAATCAAAATTTCATTATTCATCCGTAGGATGAATTTTAATTACAATCTCATTACGACCAAACTAATAAATGACCACCCGTTATATAACCACTTTGCGTATACATACAGTGTCCCATACGTATAAGAAAAGCCTGTATTCTATTGTTTCCGTAAATCCCATCAGATTACAAAATTTTCATAATATTTAAAAAAAAGTCAGAATCAGCTTTGCGTTTCATTGAAATTCAAGAGCGTTCACGAAACTGGTAATTTGCTACATTCGAGTAATCAGTCGTTGTAACGGTAATACATAAATAATAAAACTATCAAAGAAAGTATACAGTGAACGGTGGAAAAAAAAATCGACGAAACGATAGAAACTTCGAGAAACATATTTTACGTTATGTTCGTTTAAAAGCGTCGTTAATGCATTGAGATCAAATTATCGATGCCTCCCTTCGTTTTCAATTATGTAATTTCACTTTCGCTTTTCAAACATTTTTCACGCTGTCTTTCCCGCACGCCATTACAAGCCCTTGGAAATAATTGGCCCGGCAATTAATCTTTGAGATTCGCAATTATCTTGTTCTTGGACTTTGATAAGGAACACATAATTCTACTAGGGCTTGTTTCTAATCGTTTTAGCAAATCTGAAGCACGATTGTGTCCAAAGACATTCCTAAAGTCAGTAACTGGATAACCGGCTAGCTATACGTGCTACTGATATTGTATCGTTCCTACAGGACGTTCCAAAGATAGCCATACGAAAGATTTATCGCCGTTTCCTCGTTTAACCACATTTTAAATATACACACCACACTCGGAGCTAAACGTCATTTTCATTGTCACTTGTGAATTACGTATAAATGTACATAAGGTCGGCGGCAATTTTGAAACTGAATTATAAAAACAAATATTTAATCGATTATCCGATTGTCAGGTGAATTTTTGAATTGGTGTATCAAAAACGCATAACAATAATATATCATTTTTAGTCGCCGCAAAGTTAATCGTAAAAATGTCTAATTTTTTACATATTTGATTATCTGACATCGGATGATAAATAATTGTTTTTGTTTTTTAACAACAAAAATTGTACAGTATATATGTCGATTCTATATTCAATTTTTTTTACGGTTACGGAATACGTGATACAAAAATTACCATTAAAAGTGACAGGAAGTCGATAACGTGATTTTTGAAAATAATAACAAGGACATCGTTATCTTATTTCTACGGAAGTGACGTATGATTTTCCTGTCACACTTTGTTTGTTTACCAAAAATTTCAAAAATTACCTCAAATCGACAGTATCTATCTAGTAAATTAACGAAATAATGATTAATCGAATGAAGATAAATACGTTCGATCAAACCCAATAAAATTTGTTATCAAAATATCAAATATGTTAGACGAATTTTGATTACGTCTCTATAGTTCTTCTTAAATTTCAATCTTTCTTTTGTTTCAATTTTTTTCTAAACTCGTCCATTCCACTCACTGTCAATGTTTTTTATAAAAAAAAAAACTGCAGCCAACTGGCAAGGTAACGACAATATTTAAAATTGTCCATGAAATATGTTACTCGCGACAATTATACAATTAACAGTACTTGTCTAACAATAAGACGTGAACGAAGCAATGGCTTGGTTAACACGTACAATAATGTATCACAATGCTTCTGCGTCCTCGAGAGATATCAGCGAGAATATAAAGGAGAATAAAAAGAAAATCGTTCGCGCGCCACCTATCTCCGAGCAAGTTCATTCACAATGAAGAAGAAGCCGCGCGACTAAGTAACTCGAGTTTACGAATAACGAGTTAGAAACGCATCGGGCGATCATGGTCTAAGAATAAATTGCCCGAGTTCCAGGGTTCCGTATTGAGTTCAGCATCTCATTCCAGAGGCAGGATCCGGTGAGAGGAAGAAACAGGAAGAGAGTCCAAGGACGAAGATTGGGCCGACGCGTGTCCTCGAGCGGGAGATTCAAATCGCATCATCGAGAGTGTCTCAGTGCATCCTCTCATAGAGGGCGACATCGTCTGCTTCCTGATCGGAGTAGCTGACGTCGTGTTCAGCGGGATCTATTCTCTGATAGACGTCAGACATTCGTGGTGCCGTGGGTCTTATGCTGGTCATCGGGATTCCCTCCATAGTGCTGTACTGAAGTACGGGTGCCGAAACGGTAAGGGTCGCACTCCCAGGATTTTTTCCAGGATCATGTCCAGCCCTGTGCATAAGGACAGTACCGTACTGCCAGCTCGTGTCTAGACTGTGTTCCTCTGGATGATTGATCTTGACCTTGTCTCTGGTTCTGCACCAGCAGATGAGAACCAGGGCCAGGACAAGGAGCAGGACGACTATGAGGGATGACAGAATGATGACAAGGATACCAGGCGGTACCAAGGGTTCTTCCGGAGACGATACACGCTTGTCCACCCCAATGGCCTCGTAGTACTCGTCGAGGCTGCTGAAGAGAGTCTTGTCCGGTATGTGATTCGTACAGTCCAGGAACCTCATGTCCAGCCAGGTGGTGTTGAAGGGTTTGGCACACTTGACGGCCTCCGGAGTGAGGGTCGCGTTCTCAAAGATCTTGTAGAAGACGATCTTGAGGTCGCAATCGCAGACCCACTCGTTGTTCAGCTTCATGAGACTGTACATGAAGAAGACCCTGTAGTCGATGACCTTGAAATTATTATTGGCTACGTCGAGGACCTCTAACTGCTGGAGTGTCACGAATACCTCTCTGTCCAGGACCTCGAGACGATTATGGGATATATTCAGGTAGCGCAACTTCACCAGGAGCTTGAACGTATCCAAAGGTAGATTAGTGAGGTTGGCGAATGAGAGGTCGAGGTACTCAAGCTTGTACGCCTCGAGGAACGGCTCATCCGGTAGGACCAGAGGATTGTAGCTCAGTATCAGCTTGAGCAAGAGATAGCAGTAAGAGAAGGTCTTGGGGTCGATGGTCCTCAGGAGGTTCCTCTCAAGATTTACCGAGACGACCTTGTGCAACCTGTGAAAGGCGTCGTACTCGATTTCGCTGATGTTGTTCCTGGCCATGTAGAGGACCTCCCAGTCAGTCTTGGCGTGAAAGGGTTCCCTGCTCAGGATGCTCAGGTTCGAGTGCGTGATCTCCAGCGTGTGACTCTCCTCCTCGGTACCCACCAGGTAGACCTCCAGCTCCTCGATGTCGACGTCGTAACATCTGGTGACGGCCTCGTGGACGTGACAAGGACTCCTCGCGGAGTTCTTCGGCAGCTGACCCGTTACGACCTCAAGGAAACTCGCCCCGAGGATCAGGGCGAGCGTAACGAGAGGGTACTGACGGCCCGGCATCCTCCGTAGCTCGAAAGTCCCCTGTCTCCCGGACGCCTGACCCGACCTTAGCTATCGTCCTTCGATCCCGTCGCGCCAGATGGAGTCATCATAGCGTTACGTAACGCGCCCCTTCGCTGTCGCTCATCTCAGCTCTGTAACAAGAAAGAACCAATCGATACGTTACTAGGTTGTCATTGAATAATCCCCCCGGAGGTTCCAAGACGGAACTTCCGCCGTCTGGTTGGAGTGCCAACCATCCCCTCCGCGACCGGTTAGCGGGGTCAATTGGATATCGAGGATTTCGGAGACGGAGAAAAAGAAAGTAAATATTTACACGCGATTGAGCACGACGCAAGAGGCAAGCTGAAAAATGCCAATTTCTTTCTCATTTTACAAGGGCTGATTTATATTTGGACACCATCTTGTATACGGTACCTGGTACAGTACTGTCTTCCTTCCTGATACGCTTGATCATACGACGTCGATCTTAATTCTTGGTTATGTCGCCAAAATGGACGATCGTATCTCGTAGCGCTTTTGAAATAGCTGCCATTTGAAATTCCCGCTTCTTTTCTTTTTTTTTTTTCTTTCAACTTTTCCATTTCTCGCGCCAGATTAACCGGCGGATGTACATTGTTTCCTTTCTTTTCTTCGCTGGGGAGAAAATCATATTCATTTTCTGGTTATCGAGGGAAACTGCCACCAAGACCCAACCCCTACCCAAGGGGTGGGTTTAGGGTAGCCAGGACTTTCGCGAGGGTTGCAATGGGATAGCACAAGCTGCCGAGATACAGAGATCCCTCTATAGTCACCCAGCCCCTACCTACCTACTACCCCCCATGTAGCTTGTGTGTTGCTGCTCGGCCTGCTTGCGGGGATTCCCCTTTCTTGTTCGCTATCGGGGAACCACGAGCTTGTTAATATAAATGGACGCTTGCAAGACGAGCCCTGCGGACTACCAACTTTCAGTGAACGGCGAAGCCTGCTGATTGTGTAGACAGGGATGAAAAATGTCCACAATATTCTACGTGAGAAGAAGCCAAGATATATATATATATGTATATGTGTGTCAATATATATGTATGATGTAATCTATATATATATAAGGTTGCATAGTAACGATAATTTCGTCGCCGTGCGGGCGACAGTTGGAAGCCTGATTTTGCAGTTTTCACCAAGTGTACCAGATAGGACAAGGTACTTGACAAGAATTGCTTTCGATTTTGCTTAAAAAAAAAAAAAAGTTCGCCATCGATGTTTTTCCCAGTGGAAATTGCATATGCAAAACTCACAGAATTTCCAGGCTTTTCGAAAGCAAGAAAATCTAATCAAGAAAGCAATGGAAGAAAAATTTGAAAATACTCTTTGGGACTTCGAGGTGAGTAACCTTTATTCTGACGGTTGACTGTATGTTGCACATTATTTATTTTATTTGTTCTCTTGGTATACAGGCGTACCACTCGTCCTTAGACACTACATAAAGGTAGAGAAAAATATGTTGCGCAAGAAGTACTGGGGATTCTCATTTAATGAGAGCTGTTGCTTCTCGATAATATTACGTGAGAAAGAATTAAAAAATGTTATGACAAATATTTTGAGTTAACAAAATTTTTTTTTTCAAAATTAGTCTGATGGTATATTAGCCATTTTTTAACAAGATTTTTGATTTTTCAGAAAAGTCTTCATTCGTAACTCTGAAGTCTCTTTCGGGTCGGACGGATAAGAGATGATGTTCTTTTCTTGTTCCTTGAGTGAGTACTGTCTACGTCAACGGATATAACGTCGGTTGACGTGCGACGTCGACATTAACGTATAACTGCGTTACCGTGCGACGCTGACGTTAACGTATCGCGTGTCCCCATGGAGAAACTTGCCCGCGATAAACCATGCTGCCATCGAGTCTACGACAATTCATTTAATGTAGCCCGATACGTTGAAAGATTGGTCTCGCGTTTGATTAGCATTAACGCGTCACGTGACGACCGTCGATAAAGAAGAAAAACTTTATTACCGACCGAGACAAGGCAAAACTGTTCGTTGTCGTACAATTATTTCGTGATACATGACGCGAAGAAAGTCGATATTTGAAAATCGCAGGTTAACGTGCATAAATTATAGACCGTGTGTTCACGGGTTATACGGATAAAATTGATATGAAAAAAAAAATTTGACAGGAATTACAAACCATGTCGAAAGCGGTATATATACTATTGATTAAAACTTTGCGACCCAAGAAAAAGTGAAAATTCGTAAAAGCCAAAGGAAATATTTTGCAGGATGATGAAAATTTATTAGACAGAAAAGTATAGCTGTCTGACGGGTCTCAGGAATTTCTTTTCGGTGTACGAAAATGGGAGACCAGTCGGTAAAGAAGGATAGTACCTTCAAATATGTCCTAAGGATTTGATCACGTACGAAGATTACGAGCTGGGCTGCTCGATGCCTTATTGTATGCCCCGAATGGTTCTCGGACTAAAATAAGAAGAACACGTGAGAGCAAGAGAGAAAGGAATGAGAATCGATAAAAATTGCCAGAATACGGATAAAATAAAATTGCATTAACATTTTTAAGTTAGGTTGGTCCGTCAAACTTAATATAAATGAAACATGATTATACGGGGAAAAAGTTAATACGTATGCAATATTATAAATTTTTGCATATTGGCTTTGAAAACTTTTATCTCAAATTTTCGTAATATCTCACGTACTAGATTTTATCTGACTTACCTCCTCAAGATCCACGCTTGACTGTACCAACGTCATAAATTAAACGAGTACTTTGTAGATACGTGACTTATCGTTAAAGCAATGTAGGGTTACGTTACCAATGTTGAGTATGTATATATATATATATATACACACACACGTTTGCCAAAGAGATACTTCGGGAACACGAAAAATCAAGGGGCGTTCACAATAGCAAGCTAATGCTTTTTTTGTAACTACTACCTTGGAACATCGTAGCATTGGAGTTCTGACGTAATCTAACCTAACGAAACATTTCTAAACCTATCAAAAATACTGGATACCTAACAGCGAAAAGATAAAAACAAATTTGGTGAGACACTCCGCTTTATGGTCCTCAAAACAGTCAATACGTTGAAAATTCTTTGAGGACAGTCCCCAAAACAGACTTATATATGTATATATTTCCAACGTGCATTTACTCTTGTCGCGACAGTAACGAAAAATTAAAAAAATGTCATCGCCAAACGGTTACAAAAAATGTATAATTTTTTTTCTTATCGATCATCTACGAAAAAAAAAAAATCATTAATCAAATTTTGTACTTGACACACCCTTAGTGCGTACAAATCGTTCATCATCGACTCTTACGTAAATCTTGGAAAATGGTGATCGGGGGGGGTACCCCCCTCCCTTCACTGATAGTCCATCACTCTCAAAATCAAAGAACGTATACCAAGCCGTTTTATGCACGGATAATTTTAAACCTGCTGAACTTTCAAAAGTGTTTCTTGACTGTTTAGAAACAATTAAGAGTATCGATCGGCTGAATTAATAACTCCCCCCCTCCCCCCGATTTGACTATCAAAATGTGTTTAGCCATTCTGTCTGGTAATGGAAAAATTAAAAAAGGAACATCGATATCATAAACGTCACGTGGTTACCGGGTACGGAGATGAGCTTGTAGGGTGTTTGCCTATTGGATGTTCATCAGAGTCCAGGATCAGCGACCTGGTCCCAATGGAGCCTGATGGGTCTGAGAATAATTGAGGTTCTTGGCTTAGAGTCTCTTGGACGTTGTATACCTTTAATAAGTCGTTCACGATGTCTAATGTCAGGCGCCATAAAGGAAAAAGGACGCTAGTAAAGCGTCGCGACGCCTCTTACGCGAAACAGCAGGTCCGATATCGTGACATCGGAGAAACATCCGAGCGCAGTTGGAAAATTTAACTGATACTTCGCTTTTTTTTTTACTTAAGATCTTGTCGCTCTTATGGGACATGAGAAAGGTCAGTGATGCAAATTTTACAATAGAAATCATACGTTATTTTTATTATCTCAAATCCCATTATTCGAGATGGTTGTCGCCAATATAATTTTCTAAAATCTTGTATCCACGTGAACAATTTTATTTTAATTTTTTTTTTTAAATTTATCGACCTGATACCAGTGAAGGAAAAACGGGTAGTGACGTCAGGTTTGTCTTTTCTTTAATTTTCTGAACTACCGCGTAATTTTTGCTTGAGAAAAAACTACCCCAAAGGTAGCGTATCGCACGTTATAAACGACGCCATCTTTGTCATAGGTCTTGCAATATAAATTTGGAAAACACCTACAGTTACTAGGAAGACCGAACTATACAAAAGGGATGCTACCCCATAAAGGTAAATGCACGTATTATTTCAGCTTAAAATTTTTTTACCACGTTCAACAGGTAATTCAACCCTCAAAAAAATTTTCATCAAGACATCAAAAAACTTGATCAGATCATCAGTAAACATATTAGAAGGCACGAAAACAACGATTCGATAACCCCAATAAATTTAGGACTAACCTAATTAACCCTCCACGTGCGTAATCCGATTAATTGCACAGTACACTCAGTTTAATTGGACCAACCTGACCTGAATACAATAAAATCGAGAAAACACCCTTAGCGTCCCTTTAGCGATTTTTTATTTTCAACCCCCCCCCTCCCCCACGATTCCTACTTTACCCACCCTTTCCAAAGGGTGAAAAGTGAAGAGTGTGAAATTGCAAGGGTTGTTCCCTGAGCTGGAGGAAGGTATTAGACCGGATGAAGGTAGACACAAATATTTGCTATCGTCAAGGGGGTGGATCAGGGGGGGGGGGAGTTAATACGGCAAAGACCTAAGAGCTAATCGCAAGTAAAATAGACAAATAAAAAATTGAGAAAGAGACGTGATGGAAAAAAAAACCACCCCATGCCGACAGCATAACCTCCCCTATTTTTTATTACGTATATGCGTGACCCTCCATGACCTTTACGATTAGTCCCACCAGTGCCCTGTGTTGATGTTGACACGTGTGCGACCACACCCTCGTGATTGATCATACGAAGCAACAAGCTACAAGGGGTTGGTACCCCTAAAGACCTCCAAGGGTTGGTTTACGTTAGGTTTACGTCAGGTTAGGGTTCTCTTATCAACGTAATTGAATCTGATCG